AGGGGGGCACAGTGTCTAGGAGTCTTTGCTCCCTCACGACAAACTTTTGGCTTACGTGCATCAGTTGGGGGACTTTTATGTTGGCCACACACTTGCTGGGCATCCAGAACATCCAAACGGACCTCTTGAGAAGCCTCCCTACATGTGTGGGAACTCAACCAGGCATATTTAATTCTGGTGTTCACGTGTTGGGATTCCCAGAGATATATGCTTTTGCTATGTGAATGAATCAGAAATATCGACTGTTCTGCAGCAGAGGAGGGATGGACCCTCTCTTTCTAGGGGATGGCCTTCTCTATCCCTGGAAGAACCATTTCGTCTTTCTTTTCTCCCCATTACCCCTCATAACCAGAGTGGTGGACAAACTGATGAGGGAATTGCCCAATTGCATTCCAGAAGCCTCATGGTGGCCCAGGCAGGTTGGCCCCCTGTACTTCTAAAGCTGTCTTGGGGACATGTTTATCACTTTCCCCCAGCTCTGGACCTTTTACTCACCCTTGGGGAACAGCTTTTTCACCATGATGTCCTGTACCTGAAGCTTACGGCAAGGAGGATTTTTCTCAATCTTTCTCTGAGAGGGTGAGAGAGGTCATCATTAATAGTAGGAAGCTGTCCACCAGGAAATCCTATGCCTGTAAGTGGTCTAGATTCGTCAAGTTCAGTGATGTTTCCACAACCCTACCAGAAAGCGCTGGACTTTCCTCCATTTTTTATCTCCATTATAAACTCGGGACTGAGTTACTCTTCTGTATGGGTCTGCTTGGCTGTTATTTTGGTGTATCATCAGCCAGTAGACGGCTATTCTGCGTTTACCCACCCACACACTAAATGGCTTCTTAGAGGACTATTACACATGCATTCCCCGCTTAAACTCTCTGTTCTGGCATGGGACCTTCCCCCGGTGCTTAGGAAACTGATGGGCAAACTGTTTGAACATTTGGTTTCTTGTGATGTCCTCTTGCTCACCTGAAAAACTGACTTCCTGATTGCCATCATCTGCACGAAGGGTGAGTGAACTTACAGTCCGACATGACCCACCTTACCAGCATTTCTCCAGTAGCAGCCTCACCTTGAGCCAGAACATCCGATTCCTTCCGAAGGTTGTTTCGGAGTTCCATGTGCAGTCCGACATCATGCTCCTGGATTTGTGGAGAGATTCCTTCACTCTTTAGGTGTGAAACGTGCTCTCCTATTCTACTTGTGCAGAACCAGACCAGACCACAAGGATCCTAACCTCTTTGGCTCTTATGTATCACAGAAGAAATCTCAACCCAGAGACTGTCTAAATGGATTGCTGAGACCATCAAACTGTACTACTTGCTTGCAAAGCAACCCTTACCGGGGCCTATTAGGGCACATTCCATGATGGCCAAGGCAACCTCTACTGCATTCCTTAGAGGGGTCCCTTTATAGGACATCTGCAGAGCAGCGGCCTGGGTGACTCCTAACACCTTCATTCAGCATTAAGCTCTGGATGTCTATGCCTGGCAAAGAGCTCTGGTGGGATGGTCGGTCCTTGTGTCTGCGTTCAACTGAGTAGCTGCCAGCACCCTTATCCGGTAAGACAGAGCTTGTTATTCTCCCACAGGTGTGATGCACAGAGACCATGACAAAGTTAAACAGGTTGCTTACCTGTAACTGATGATCTTCGAGTGGTCATCTGTGCATTCACACCACCCACCCGGCCTTCCCCTCCGCTTTCAGCCTACTCATTACATTGTTTAGATATTTCAGCAGTTAGAAGGAACTGGTGGGATACCTGAGCTCCACCCCTGTAGGCATGTGCGGTGGGGCCCCGTGCATGCCTTGGGGAAGGAGTGCAGGAAAGGAGTTTTTTCAAGCTTTTAGAAGTTACTGATTCGGTCAGGCGCAGGGGCCCTATTCCCACAGAAAGGAGTGCATAGATGACCACTTGAAGATCATCAGTTACAAGTAAGCAACCTGTTTTGTCTTAAATGTGCCACTGGACTCAAACTTTGTTAAGCAGAAGAATAGTACTCATAAAACAGCCTGCATAAAATGACAGACTTACAAGACCTACAAGGCTTTAGCAATGAAGATGCTTTCTGCATATTTTCTTGTAACTAATTCCTTATTATTGGAATGACTGCTGAAAAGGCTCTTGCCATAGATTTTTGTGCCTGTGGAAAGAGGGCACAGCTAGCAGGCCCTGTTAAGAGGGCTGCAGTATGATCTCATATTATGAGAGGCTGTCATGAGTGTATGAGTCATGAAAGATTTCATATGTAGGGACCAACACCTTGAATTGAGCCTGGAAACAAATTGATCCATGAAGCGAATTGGAAGCTATTACTATATTAAAATAGTCTTATGTGCCTCTCACAGGCAAGCAAAAACTTTGTAACTTCATTTTGTACCTACTGAGTATAGGTGACTTCCAGTCTTCTTATCTGACAAGACTGAGACCAGGAGCACTGTATTCTTAGTCAACTGGGGGTTATATGTACCCCAGTCACAGTGCAACTTTAGGCAGAGTTACACTCTGCTAAAGCTATTGAAGTCAGTCACTTCCAGTACATCATTTTCTTCACCACCATTTTGTCAGGATTAAATTGTTGGTTATTTTGCCTGACCTATGACCACCACACCCAGATACTGAATCAGGACAGAGATAGTTGCATTTGGATGCTTATTTGAAGAGATATAGAGTTGGGTGTTACCAGCATAATGGTGATAGCCAGCATTATCTTGCTTTTGTATTTGTATTTATTTACTAATTAAATTTCTACCCCGCCCTCCCGCCGAAGTGGCTCAGGGCGGCTTACAAGCAATTTAAAACCAACATTCAGTTAAAACCAACAATTACAAAATATAAAATACAGTTCCATAAAATCACAGCTAATACACCCTGTGATAAAGTGCTAGTGCGACACCACCGGTGTAATCAATTCTTATTGGAACGCCTGGTGAAACAGCTCCATTTTAACAGCTCTACGGAACTGCTGGAGGTCCCGTAGAGCTCTGATCTCATGGGGGAGCTTGTTCCACAGGGAAAACGCCCTGGTCCTAGTTACCACTAACCTGGTGTCCCTAGTCCCAGGGGGGGCCGGACGGTTTTGCATATCCGATCACAGTGCTCTTGAGGGAACATATGGGGAAAGGTGGTCCCTTAGGTAGTCAGGCCCCAGACCATTTGGGTACCCAGTGGGAACCCAAAGTGGCTTACAACCCCCCAAAAGAAAATATCTTAGAAATAAACAAGGCAAAGTGGGGAGGAGAGGCTTCTGAGTACAGATCTTCCTCCCAGCTCCAGGCTATGACCCTTAGGCGAAGAGCTGAAGGAGAAGAGCCCTTTGGCTTGCACCCAAGAGCTCATGATTCTGGACGTGCGCAGGCCTGTGTGAGCAGCAAGACCCTTCACTACTACCCCTGCTGTATAAATTCTAGGTGATCTTATTCAGTGGTTTAACATACATTTTAAATAACATAAGTAATAATGCTGAGCTTTGAGGGATTCCACATATTAGGCTCCAGAATGATGATTCTGCCTCCACAACCAAAACTCAGTGTTGTCAGACAAAAAAGGCTGAAACCATCAAGAGCGCAGTGACTGAAACTTCAGCTGCATGCTCTCAACAGTTCAGCATGATGGAATGATGAGCTGTACTGAAGGCTGCAAAAATATCCAACAAAATTAAGTGGCAATTTACCTTTGACAATTTGCAGAGGCTGGGCATCCAGCAGAGTGACTAAAACGGTCTCTGTCCCAGTCCTATAACGAGGCCTGAAGTCAAACTGAAATGGGTTAGAGAAAGATCTGTCATTCAGAAATGCCTAAAAATGTCACCATAGGCTTAATCTGTCCCCCAAAGGAAGGCTGGAAACATACTGGTGATTAACCCAGTCTTCTTTACCCTAAGAGGGGGTTTTGAGCAGTGCCCTAACTGATGCTGCTTTGAGACCCTGAGGAAAACTGCCCTCTAACAAGAAGATATTAGCTATTCTAACTATGGTAGCGTGTTGGGAAGCATTGGAAAGGAAAGAAGAAACAGTTGACGTTGACATAAACTGAGTTTAAGCTGCATGAGAAAGGAGGCAATGACAGAAGGGAAAGGGAAATAGTCAGGGGCAGAGAGGTTTAGAATTAAAACAAAGAACTAGAGGCTTGAGATGGTTGTGTGTTACAGGTTTACTGCTGTATTACTGGTTTGTCTAAATCTACACTCTAGAGTTATGTTCAGGTTTTAAAACAGTGGTTAATTGTGCACTTTCCTTTTTTTTTTTAATTTACCAAGTACTCAGGAGGATCTGAATATGTTTTTGAGATTCTGTTTAATTCTAATGGATGCATGGACTCAGGATTCTACCTTGAGAGAGAGAGAGATAGATAAGTGTATTGTATATGGCCAAAGGCTGTTACAGTCGAAAGAAAAAATGCATTCGTGGAACATAAAAAACAAGGATTAATTTAGATTACAGTTAAAACAAATTAAAATGACATCAAAGTACAAAAAACAAAAACAACGCTAGCCCAAAGAGACAAACACATAAGACTTACTACAATGGGTTAGGCCTCAAGCGTAGACCTAGAGTGTAATCAGAAGTCAGTATGGGGTTTGCTTGCTCCCTGTTCTACTCTGACCTAGTTCCATCATCGTGAGAAACAGGTAATGAATCCACAGGAAGGTCCCATATTTATCTGACCAGATATCTCCCTGTGAGAGGGATCCTGCCTTTTTTTTCTGCCTTTTTAGTTGATTAAGTTCTTTAGCATAAATTTTCAAAAGTGGCCATAATTTGGCTGGAGTTCACCTATTCAAGATAACTGTAAATATTCCAGTAATGTGTTTTTCACAAATGCCTCTAAAACCCTGTCTTCACACTTCTGATTTTTTTGTCTATGGGGAAGAAGGCTCTTGCAGGCTTGTGGTACACACTTTTATTGCATAGGGTTTTTTTCCATTTAGGAAAAGTCTATAGTTATGTTCTTTGAATATACATTATTTGAGGGTTTCCCCCCCTGTTTTCTTACAATACAGGTCTTGTTCCAGAAGAAACAGAGGAAAATAATGAGGAAGAAACAAGTAGTGAGGACAGTAAATTGCAAGACCTCCCACCCTGCTGGGGTTTGGACATAGTTTGTGGTAAAGGAACTGATTTCAACTATGGTCCATGGGCTGATAGACAAAGGTACTGTGGTGAATCCTTTTGACTCCCTCTGCTGTAGTAGACAAAAGCTATTTCCACTTGAGATATTTGCTCAAGGTTCGATGCTATTGAAAAGCAGGGTTTTATTTCTCACTTCCCCACAACACCATAGTACATTCATGCACCTCCCTGGCTTCCCCAGCTTTTCTCTGATTTTTCCCACGATCTCTCTGATCTTTTCATTGCTCTTTCCCAACCCTGCTTTGTTGCAAAGTTTTGAGAAAAATCACAGCACAACCTGGATGGTTTCCAATCCCACCCACACAGCAGCCATTTTCTCTGTCCTGTTCCCACAGTGGCCACTAGGGGGCTTTTTGTATTTTTTTCCCATGGGCAGCTGAATATTGTTATATCAGTAATTCTAATGATCTGTATATCAGGTTTTCTGAATCCCCAGCTTTCACTTAAACAAAAGTCTGTATCCCTTTTGTTGTGAAGATTCAAGGTGGAAGGCATATCTCTGCAACGAAAGTTTTACTTTTTAAAGTTAGGAGTTGACAGAACCTGATAAATAGGCTGTAATAAACATCATATCAACATTGTAGCAATATAACAATATTCAGTTATTGAGTTTTTTAAACAACATAACTGCTCCGGAAGAGAACCTCTAGGGGGCGGGGCGGTCACGTGGTGAAGCCCCGCCCCCTTCTTTACCCCGCCCTCTGCTTCGATCCTCATTCCGTTTGGGAATGAGGATGAAGCAGGAGGGTAAGTAGCCGGGCCTTCTGACACACTTCCGGTGATGTCAGGGGGTGTGGCCTTCTGTCACTTCCGGTGATGTCAGGGGGCGTGGCATATGCAAATAAGTTATGCTAATGAGTTATGCTAATGAGCTCCGGCAGCTCTTTTTCTACAACAAGACCCCTGAATATAACAATATTCAGTTATTGAGTTTTTTAAACAACATAACTGAAAAAGCATGGTGGTGGGGTAGGGGAATTGGCTGCTGCCTGGGGACTGGGGCAGGAAACCTACTGGGAAACTTGCCATACAGAAGCCCAAATGCACTGTACTTCCAACTGTAGCAGCTACTGGAAAACTACACAAGCCTATCCTCATGTGGAAAGCACCCAAGAATGTTAAGCACAACATGTTGTGTAGAATTCTCATGGTTGTTTTCCTGTACATTGCAGCAAAAGCTCAAAAACAGCTTCAAAGTTGATTAAATTTGGGCAAGAGCTCAAGACCGACCTTAGAATACTGTTTTCGTCTCCCTTTTCATTCAGCCAAGTATGAAGGGAGCTTTGTTATGCCAGTAGCAAAGTGCAAAGCTTCAAAGCAACCTTCAAAGCAAAACAATTGAGAACAGTAGTAATAGACATCCTCCAATGCCCTCAGTCCTGTTATGATGAATAGATCTTGTGCATACTAGATAAAGCTGGGAAATGTCTTTACTAGTCAGACATTTGAGGAATATGACATTCAACTGCTGTATTTGCTCTCTGTGGATGTTATGCTCTGTAAAATATCTTAAAATGATAAACCAAGGACCCGGTCACACGGGCCAGATAACCCGGGGGGGTGGAGGTGTGGCTTTTTGCGCCGGTGCAATTTAACGTGCCAGAACGCGATCAGATGCAGTGGCGGCAAATTGGGGTTTTGTTTGTTGGCGTGTGTTTCCGGCACGTATCAACACGACGAAAGGAGCACGCTTGAGCGATCACACGTAGATATTCCATCGACGGCCAGTTGCAAACTGTTTGCTAGTAGGCTATTCTGGGTATTTTTAAACTCTGGATCTTTGGGGGGATGCTATAGGTCGGTGATGGGTGTGCTACGCTTGCCAGATGTGTCCTTGTGATCGCGCCCATATACTCCGCCCGACATTCGTGCCTCTCCCGTGGCAAATCCTCCGTGTGACCGGGGCCCAAGTAGCTTTCCTTAAGTAACTCCTTTACTCTTCTGATTTTTTAAGGGACTGTTTGTGGAAATTTTTCTTCCCACAAGATTACCAAGTCATGAAAGTCTCAGAAATTCCACAGCCTGGGAAGCCACGGCAGATCCTTGCTTTTGAGCTGCGTATGAATATAATTGCAGATGCCACTATTGATTTGCTCTTCACAAAAAATAGGGTAATTAATTTAAAAAAATATTTTTCAACAAATGCTAAAATAAAATGGAACAACATAATAAATGAAGTCTCGAAGATAGTGTTGGGTTGAGTGTAAGTTTACATTTTAACATTATGTTTTCCACATTTCCTATAATGTATTTTTGTGCCTAGACAAATCTAACAATTTTTCTGAATTTCTTAAGGCTTTGTGTATGTATAGTGTATGCATAAATAAAACTAGAAAATACAATGTATTTTATTTATCTGTAATGAACTACATTGAAAATACACCTTTGTATGTTATCCCCCCTCCCCCGAAAAAAAAACCCCTCAAAAATAATCTGATGATGGCTGGAAAAGTTGCAGAAGGGGTAGAGTCTTGAAACTAGCCAAGTGCCAGTTAAAAAGGGAATCAGAGGAGTGACATGAGGATTCTCACATTGTTTTCCGCACCTCCTGAAATTCCTTATGTGTGGGCTCTAAACTTTATACATATATGCAGTTTCAATAATTTTTTCAAAGTGGATTTTATTTAACCTTTTGTGAACTTGATCAGTTTGCAGAAACAGTTGGGTTTTGTGTTGGGTCTTCCTTCATCTCTTGAAAAGCCAGTGCTGAGGGACGCTTAAGGACAATGTGGGAAGGGCAAGAAAAAAACTGATACTGACTGAAATCCTCCCACTCTTTATGAAAAGTTCATGCAAGTGTGTGTGTGTGGGGGGGAGGGGGATAATTTGTTCAATTTCTCCTCATCTTTTTGTGCTTCAGGATCTACCCTCAGCAGTTGATTTTTGGAGGCAAAGGGAATTGCTGGTGGAAGCAAAGTTACTTCGGATCACTTACAACATATTTGCTTCGTTTAAATAAACTTTTAATTTAACCCTCTGTCCTTTGACTTTTGTAACAAAACTATTTGCAGCCATAATTTTACTTAAAAATATATATGTATACTAATGATAGCTCAAGCTGTCTGGGAATCTCTTTGGGTACAGTCTTCGTATTGATTTGTGTAAGTTTGTTCATGAAGTAGAAGAAGCCTTTGATACCACGAGAGGAATGATGAGCCTCCATAACCACTAAATACAGGATTCAGTTTAATTAGCAGCCCTTAATTTGGTAGAATTGTTATCTATTCCTCTGCTTGTGTTCGAAAATATGGATATGGAATTCAGTATTCTTCATCAACTTTATTGCACATGTTTTTTGCCCAGGTTTCTAATCATGTATGGCCTGCTAGCTCTGTTTCATCAATCCTGGCAGTTTAACCATCCATGATGGTGATAGCTTGAAATGCGGCAGGGGAGAATCTTGGTGCAAATAACTGAATTTAATCCATGGTTTTATTGGCAGGAAACTAATGCTGTACACGTAAATGTTGGAGCAGGCTCTTATTTGGAAATTAATATTCCTATGACCGTTGATGAAAAAGGTAGGTTCAGGCAAAATATTTTGCATTCATAAGGGAAAATTAATATGCGGTTCAAGTCTCAAACATTCATTTAATTGTGGAAATGTGCTTGAATGATACAAAGTGTAGATTTGAGTCATGCATCTCTGGCTAGTTGAGGCTTTCCCCCTTTTGTTAGTTTACATTCATTAATGAAACTATTTACTTTTCTACCTTCCTTTTTTCATAGAGTTGAATAAATTTAGGATCAGGGTACTACTGCCATCTATCTATATAAGAGGATATTTTACAGTGCATATTAATGTTAAAGTATTAATGACGCTGACATTTTGAAATGGTAAATGACAGCAGGGAGACTTTTTGGGACAGGAGAAATCCAATTTCTTCCATCATTTTTCCTCCTCCTCCTCCTCCTCCTCCTTGTGTTTGCTGTTGCCTTCCTCCCCCAGTTGCCATCATGTCCCCTGCTCCGTTTGCTCTCACTGTGTTCACCTTCATCCTGGCCTCCTCTGAGACTGTGCAGGTGCCTTCACACTCATTCAAGTACACCAAACTCTTGCTGTAGGTTTTTTAAAAATGTCTACACAAGTACATATATTGCAACTAGTTTGGAAGGCTTTAGATTCCCCCCCCCAAAAAAAAAAAAACACCGGGGAGTTCCCTGGGTTTGCATATCTGCACAAAGACCAGCACTTGGTTATTAGATTAGCACATTTACATTGTTATGCCTTTGCAAGCATTTTTTCTATTGTAGGCATATATTACTTCCTAATTTCCTAAAACTCTATATTGAAGGCTGTATAATGTATGCATAAATGTTGCCTTCATGCTGTATAGTACACAAAATGTTTACTTTTAAATTGTTCCAGTCTGAGCAGTGTGATTACTTTTACTATATAAGGGGATTGGAACACTCATTCAGAATTGAAATGAAGATGATGCGGTGTTTGGAGAGACAGAAAGAAGCACATCTTTATTCTTTTGTTCTAATTATTTAGGTTACTCTCCTACAATTAAAGGACAACTTTTACACGTTGATGCCACCAGCAGTATGCAGTACCGGACTCTCTTGGAAGCAGAAATGTTAGCTGTAAGTACCGGTATTCATAAATACCAGAGTGATCTAAGTATTTTGTTTTAAAATTTGCCAGAATATGGAGCATAAAAAACAAGAAGACCAAATATTTTGTTTCACTAGCATGTAAATTTCATTAGCATGTAGCATGGGGGAACCCCTCGACATCTTGGCTCAGACATTCATCAGGTGCACTTTCCTAGGCATGCTGCTCTTGAATACATGAAGCTGCCATCTACTGAATCAGGCAATTGGTCCATCAAATTCACTGTTCTCCATTCAGACTGGCAGCAGCTTTCTTTCCCATCTCCTTTTAACAGTTAAAAGAGGGACGGGGTGGGGACAGACGGAAAGAAAGACAGAGGGGGGAAGAGAGAGAGGGACAGAGACACAGAGAGTGAGAGAGACAGGGGGGGGAAGAAAGAGGGACAGAGAGAGAGAGAGAGAGAGGAAGGAGGGCGCCCACGGCCTCCCGACCCCAACCCAGCTTGCGCACACATGCACACACACCCTCATCCTCCTGCTTCCCTCACAGTGCTGGCTGCATTGCCAAGGGGAGAAGGAGGGTGTCCATGGCCTCCCCACCTCAGCTCACTCTCACACACACACGCTCACCCCCGCCCCGGCCCCCCCTGACACGCTCGGCCCCCCCCCCAATGCAAAACAACCCCTGCCACACTCCCCAGAGTGGCTCGGTCGCCTGCAGAATCTCCAAGCCAGCTCGGGAGGCTGTGGGCAACCTGAGTATGCTCAGACCACCCCCTCACACACAAAACAACCCCCTGCCACCCTCCTCAGAGTGGCTCGGTCGCCTGCAACCTCTCCAAGCTGGCTGGCTGGCTCAGGAGGGCATGGGTGACCTGAGCACCCTTGGACCACCCCCCACGCACAAAACAACCCCCACCACCCTCCTCGGAGTGGCTCAGTTGCCCGCAGCCTCTCCAAGCCGATGACCTGAGCACCTTCAGACTGCCCCCTGCACAAAACAAACCCCGCCACCCTCCTCATAGTGGCTTGGTTTCATGCAGCCTCTCCAAGCTGGCTGGCCAGCTCGGGAAGCTGTGGGTGACCTGGGTACGCTTGGACTGCCCCCCCACACATAACAACCCCCCGCTACCCTTCTCAGAGCGGCTTGGTTGCCTGCAGCCTCTCCAAGCCAGGTGGGCGGCTTGGGAGACTGCGGGCAACCTGAGCACGCTTGGATCCCCCCCGCCCCGAAAATAAGCCCTTGCCACCCTCCTCGGAGCAGCTTGGTCACCCACAGCCTCTCCAAGCCAGCTGGCCGGTTCGGGAGGTCACAGGTGACCTGAGCATGCTTGGACCGCCCCCAAACAAATCCCTGCCACCCACACCCAGGCCAGAGCGGACTGCCCCCCCACCTTTCCAGCTGGTGGTGGTGGTGAGAAGAAGAGGCAGCAAATGCAGCCCCCAGATCCTCCTGGCTTGACTGAGGGCTGCTGGGATGGGATCTGGCTACCTGCCTACCTGACTGACCTAGGACCTTTGTAAGCTGGTGCGGGGGTGGGGGGCCGCCAAGGGGGTGCGGGTAGAAGCTTCACAAGCCACAGAAGAGGGCTTGAAGAGCTGCATGCGGTTCGCAAGCCGCAGTTTCGCCATGCCTGCTTTAGTCCTTGCCAAATCTGTTACAAGTAGCCAGTATTCAAGTCAAGTAGCCCCTTAGAAACTAACAAGATTCTTGAGGTATAAGCTTTTGAGAGTCAAAGATTCCTTTGTCAGATATCTCCGGAAACTAAGACAGCCTGTGAGCATTCCATGTTTCTTATTTTCACATCACTTAAAATGTTCACATCCTTCAGTAGGTCCCAGAGTCTTTATTGTTGCAATTACAGCATCCTATCTTGAATTAAAGTATAGTTTAATGATTTGTTGCAGTGCAATATAAAAATAGATTTTTCATGCAAAATACTAAAATAAAGTTAACTGATTGCTTTGAAAGCAGATGACAAAGATGTAAGGGAACTGGAGTTAATTTGTAGAAGTTTTCTTATAAAAATAAAAGACTTGATTTAAACCAGCAAGAAGGTATTTGTAATTATTAACCAAGAACACAGTTATTACTTTTCCTTGTTTGTTGTTCATACATTATCGTATTATGAGCATATACTGCTGCTTTTGTGTTTTGTTCAGTTTCATATTAATTGCACCTATCCCCGGATCTGGAACATGTCGCAGACATGGCAGTGTGAAGTTGAAGTATATAAAGCAACCTACCATTTTATCTTTGCGCAAAAAAGCTTTTTTACAGGTAATGGCTCAGTTTTATGTAACATGTATATTTTGCAAGTTATTTTTAAAATACAAATAATATCAATACCAATATGAATGGGGTGTTTTGTGAGCAAATATGACTATTAACAATTGGAACAGAAAGATATTATTTTTTTACTTGTTCATTTAATTTTGCTTTAGTCACCCAACCAATCTGGAGAATTATTTTGATCACACCGGCAGGGAATATATGCCTGTACTGCTGTGTCAATGAATTTATTTATTTATTTATTTCATTAGATTTTTACCCCGCCCTCCCAGCAAAGCCGGCTCAGAGGTTTTGGTGTAGCAGTCATCTAAATGATTTATGTCTTGAAAGAATTAATCAGTTCTATCTACTATTGTCTTGGTGCATGATGTAAATATTAAACTGGAAAGATCAAAAGCTCTTCCCTTCCTAACCTCCATTGGATTGAATAACCCTAGTTTAAGAAACTGCACTTTGATTTCTGCTTTGACAGCCAGTACTAACAGAAGGTTTTATAAACCTTGATAAAATAAAGTTTGTAATATTAACTGTTTGCTTATTCTGTGCTTATTACTTGTTTACTTGTTTTCGGCTCATAATATTCAGTAGGAGTTGGGTTGTATAGAATTTATACTGTTTTAAGATTTTCATGTATCTCTGTAATAACCTGGCTTGCCCAAATAAGGATGAAGAAAGCCATATAGTGGGGACATTCATACATACCTTGTTTGATCAAGACTGAGAGAGAAAGATATCTTGAGGCTGTAGTGGATAACTTGAAAAAAATGTTGTTTCAATGTGCGGCTATGGAAGAAGGCAATCATCATGCCAGAGATTATCAGGAAAATGTTAAAAATAAAATGGCTAATATCATAATGCACTTGTATGGATCTGTGGTGTAGCCTCATTTGGAGAACTGTGCACTGTTGTGGTCATTGTATGTAAAAGAAATATTGTGGAGATGGAAAAAGTGCAGAAGAGGGAAATCAAGATGATTAAGGGGTTGGAGTACTTTTCCTATGAGAAAAGGCTAAAGAGTCTGGAACTTTTCAGTTTATATAAAAAAGATCACTGAGGGTGAGAAATTATGAAGCTTAAACGATAAATTATATATGAGGTAGAGGCACAATACTAGAACTTGGGAGTCCCAAATTAACTTTATGGACAGTAGATTTAGGACAGACAAAAATGAGATGTTTTACTCAATGAATGAGTAAATTGTGGAATTCACTTCCAGTAGACATAGTGGCAACAAGCACACATGGCTTTAAAAGTGGTTTAGACAGATGCATGGGAAGATAGATCCATTAGTTGCTACTAGCCATGACGACTAAATGGAAACCCTACTGTCCAAGACCTCAGGCCTTTGAATACCAGTGCTAGGCGATAACACCAAGGGAAGGCCTTGTCTCTTATGCCCTGTTGGCCCTCCAAGGCAGCTGGTTGACTGTTGTGTGAAACAGCATGATAGATCCTACTCTGATCTAGCAGGGCTGCTATTATGTTCCTACTCAGAGAACATCCTAGGTAAGCAGCAAAGATAACATCATAAATTAACCAGAAGAAATAACTTAAAAATCACACTGATGATTGAAAATGTTCAGGGGATAGAAATTTGAGAGCCATTGACTGTCAGTTAAAGGGGAAAATGGGGGGTGGGGTTTGGGGAGTGGGGCACGACTTCCAAATCTCCATCCTCCTTGTAATTCTTGAAGGACTTCCATATTGTATGTTAAATACAAAAATGTATTTAAATGCAAATATAAATGTATAATACCTCATTTTAAAAATGTTCTATGCCAAACAGATGAGTAGTAGATGAAATGCTTATGTTCCAGTGGTATTTTGCAGAAACTTGCAAAGCTTGAAATTATTTTAAATGCTAAAGGGTTTGGAACAGTTAATCTGTTCCATTTTAATAACATCTTAAAGTGTATTTCTCTTATGAAATTTATTTATTTAAAGCTGCAGTCTAATTAAGTTTATGATCAAGCTGATCCTTTTGTGGTCTCTGGGTTGGATCCAGTGACCCCCTTCCTCTAAGTTTTCCTGTAATAGAGGGAGACTTGACGGAGGGCACATTTCTCTGTTGAAAGGAAACTTGTCCGAAGAGAATCATAGGATTCTATTTGGTATAAGAGAGTTATTGGATCTAAACCAGTATACTACTATGAAACAGAAGCATTTGACAGGTGAACTCTCTTTAAGACTGCAATGTAAAGCAGTAAGAATATTGACTCACATATTTTTATTTGCCTCAGAGGCCTCTGTAACAAGTGATGCATAAATAGAAGAATGGCTTCCTGCCAAGGAACACAGATGTCCTGCCAAAAGATTTTAATGCTCCTAGAAATGCTACTGTATTCTAGCGTGGGACAATTTGGGCCCTCGGGACAGAGCAGGAATACTATATTTCTTCTTCTAATTATTTACAGTTAAAAAACGAAATAATTTTGTGGTTGGATAAGTACAAAGATGGGATGGTTTTCACAGTACAGCTGACAGAAGTTATTTGGAATATTTTAGTATTTCTTCAACAGAAAAGATGAAGATATAGACATTTAATCTGACTTAATCTATTTTCTGAATGATCTGCAATGCCATGTGTGCTTTATTTTCAGATTTGATTCAGGATTGGTCCAGTGACAGTGCTCCTGATATCTATGCATTTGTTCCCTATACATGGAATTTTAAAATCATGTTTCATCAGTTTGAAATGATTTGGGCAGCAAATCAGCACAATTGGATTGATTGTTCGACAAAACAACAGGAAAATGGTAAGGCGTATGTTTAAATATGTTTCAAGCAGGCATACAACTTCCCTTCCCATATCAAGAAGTAGTGCTTACTGAAAATGAAAACTAATATAATCTCACCTGAAGAAAGTTTGTTCCTGTTTTTTGTGGGGTGGTGGTGCTACAAATGGCCCTGGAGTCCCTCACATAGCAGTGCTTTCTGCGTGTTCTGCTATCAGGTTATTCCAGTTTATACATTTTTATTTTCAGTATAACTGTTATCATGGCAAATGCAGCAACAATTAACCTGGAAGATTTTATTTTCCTGTGTATTAGAACAGTTGTATGATTTCTGATGAGCGTATCTCAGGCATTACTTGTGCTGAGATTATGAGCTCTCCTTTTGACATAGTGATTCATATTAATGTGTATGTGCTGTTCTCTTAGCAACGAACAGAGGAAGGTGCAAACAAAATTCAAAATTGTTCTAAGTGGAAGTTAGCATTAATAATTTTATGTTTATTATTTTATTGTGATATTGTTTTTGCCCTATGAACCACCTTGTGTAGTTCTTGGGTGTGGTGTCATATTCTCTCTGTCTCTCTCCTCCTCTGACCTATAGGTCTTGATTAACATTTATCAAATAATATAACTGGGAATATGAGTAAGAAATGTATATTATCTAAATAAATAAAAAGTTTAAAAGCCCTGTAAAGAATTTTGGAGACAGCATGGGGCAGGGAGTGGCTCACCATTCTGAGACAGGAACAGAGGAACTCACTACTGTATGCACATGGGCAGCGTTCCCTCTAAGCTGAGTTAGTGTGAACTAGCTCACAGTTTTTTAGCCTCCGGCTCACACATTTTTGTCTTCGCTCAGGAAGGTTGGCTCCAGAGCATACTAATTTATGCAGTAGCCAAATTGCTTGCCCACAACTTTAACGCCAGTAGCTCACAAAGTAGAATTTTTGCTCACAAGACTCCACAGCTTTGAGGGAGCATTGCACATGGGTAATATGTTCTGATTGTTTTTGGCCTGTGGTATCACTTGGCTGCTCTGTAGAACTCTGTGTGGTTTTTCTAAACTACTGTTTTTTCAGAGCCAGGCTATACTATACACCCGACGTGGGTGTCCAGCTAGACTTGCAGTTAGACATACATCAGGGAAACTCATTGTAAAAAATGCTTATTTACTTGGTTTTGTGAGGAAGTGCTGTGTGTGGGGGGTGGGGGAGAAGGTGCTTCTGGTTTTCCTCCCACTCTGCTTTTGCCATCAGAAGGGGGGGGGGACCTTTTCACCCATTTTCTCTGGCTTCATGTGTCCTTTCTAGGGCACAAGTAGCCAGAGCAAATGGATGGAAAGCCCTGCTGCTGCCCTTTCCACTGGTGAAATCCGGGTGGGAAAGAAACTGGTCTCTCTGTCTCCCACCCACAGTGCTTCCTTGCAGTACCTTTTAAGGTGAGTTTTGGCAGTGGACATCTGACTGCAGATCTGGTAGCATACCCGTGTCAGGTGTATTGTGTAGTTATGCCCTCAGAGTTAGTGAAATGAAATGGGCGGCAAACCCAGGCTGCAGGAAACCAAAAGCCCTCAATGTTTGCATCAGCTACCTTGATATACTCAGAATGTTTCAAGTATGCTATCTTTCCGATGTTGCCTTTTTCTGATATATTGTACTTTTCCAGTGCTTATACCGTTGCTGGCAAGTTGTAATTTGTGGTGAATGATGGAGATGTCTGTTTCTTTTCCTCCCCCCATTGTTCGGGATAAGCGCATGTGTTCTCACCCCAGAGTTATTTTTATTTATTTATATCCCACCTTTTCCCCCAATAGGGACCCAAAGTGGCTTACATAATTCTCCTCTCCTCCATTTTATCCTCACAACAACCCTGTGAGGTAGGTTAGGCTGAGAGTGTGCGACTAGCCTGAGGTCACCCAGCAAGTTTCCGCGGAAGAGTGGGGATTCAGACCTGGGTTTCCCAGATCCCAGTCTGACATTTTAACCACTACACCATGCTGGCTCAGAGTTGAAGCACTTAGCTGGCAGTGCACATTTTTAAAAAGGGCCACAGGCAGGATGATACTTAATGTGTCAGCTGGGCTGTGAGTTGCAGAAATTGAAAAGAGAAGCTTGCAGAAGCCAGTGCCTGCTCCTCCACCCGACCACACAGTCCTACTTTGTATTTATAATGGTTTATTGTATGGTTAATATTGTGTATTTTAATGTATTTATGCTTTTATGGAAGCCGCACTGAGCCCGCTTTGCGGGGAGGGCGGGGTATAAGTTTGATATATAAATAAATAAATAAATACTAATTAACAAAAGAGCTACACATAGGAGCATTGTGGTATCTTTTCATGGCAGCTCCCTAAGTACTTCTCATGAGGACCAGAGACGTGCTGACGACATATGATTTATTAACTTGTTTAGATATTGTTCTATGTCCTTCTTCAAATGAATAATACATACTTACCCCACTCCATTTGTGCTGGAAGAATATACTTTTGGACTGTGAGAAGTGAGGATGAGCTCCATTTCTCTCCAGGCTCTTTAGTATGAAAGTGGCATTGAAGCTCAGACTCCAGTGCAGTTAGATTAATATTGTATAGTCTTTAGAAAGGCAATTGTAACTTGGATGGCTAGTATTTGAATTTTTCTGTTCTCTTGTAGTTTATGTGGCAGCCTGTGGGGAAACATTAAACATAGATTTTTCTTTGCCTTTTGATGACTTTGTTCCAAGCATCTGCAGTACTAAATTTTCTTTAAGGGTAAGTGGCTTCGTCCTGTTTGTAATGCGTGTGTTTTCATAGTAGCGCAGTCCTTCAGTGGTATTGGTTTGGACTTGGTTACAAGAAAAGAAAAGTCTACCTTTAAAGAGGAGAGAGCTCGAATATCATTGTTTGTTATATTTCATGAAATCTGACTTTTCTTTCTAGTGCACATTTAGCAAAATTATTTTCTTTTATACATTTTATAATCGCCTCTCTCTGTAGTAGCCCTTTTAATAGAAGGAAGTCACAGCCATTTATGGAGCCTGATCAGATTTTACCTTCTTTTGGCAGAGGGGTAGAGGTGGGAACTGTGCTGTCTATGTCACTGGGAAGCATTTGTCTTAAGGTAGCTTCAGCAGCTCCTTTGGGAGATGATCCTCAGCAATATAAGGACACAGTATTTTGCAATCCACTGTGCCCCTCTTGACAAGAGATGGGATGGATGGGAGTGACTTCCTTTTCTTATATAGCTGCTTCAGCTTTTAAGGGAAGCATCTTGCATTAAAGTACAATACGCAGAGAGTTCTCTTAACTATATAGCATTGCATATCAGGTGAACATTTGCCAAAATTTGCCAAAATGAATAGATCGTATTCGGGGGGGGCGGGGGGGGGGGGGACTGGTGAAAAGTAGGGGTGTGCATTTGGCTTCCCCGAACTGAAAAAATACGGAATAAATGCCTTGTCAGTATTTATTCGGTATTCCTAAAATGAACGCAAAATTCAGAAAAATTTTCAGCAACCGAATCTATTCCCAAATTTATTCGACTTTTCTGGCTTTCGAGTAGCGGAATGCTGACTTCCCTTCCTCTGTGGCTTCCCTAGATAATTCCACTCCCTGGCAGTCAGCTGTTAGGTTCAAGCCATTTAAACCTAATAGCTGACAGGCCGGTGGGAGTGAAACTGACCGGGGAAAGCCTCCTCTCTCTGTGTTCCCTTCTCCAGCTGCCCCAGGGCTGCTGGAGAAGGGCAGGCAGAGACAGGGTAGCCATGTTTAAATGCCTTTCTTTCTCTCCCCAAAGTTAAACATGCCTGCCCTGTCTCTTCCGGCCCTTCTCCAGCAACTGGAGAAGGCAGGCAGGGAGCCCAGGCATGTTTACATGCCTGCCCTTGGCTTCCCTAGCTGACCAGCAGTGGTGGGCTGACTGGGAAGCCAAGGACAGGCATGGAAACATGTCTGGGCTCCCTGCCTTCTCTTCTCCAGCTACCCTGGGGCAGCTAGAGAAGGGAAGGCAGACAGAAGAGACTTTCCCTGATCAGTTTCACTCCCATGTCCTGTCTGCTGTTATGTTTAAATGGCTTAAACCTAACAGTTGACTGGCGGGGAGTGAGATTGTCAAGGAAAGCTGCATGGGCTTTGGGAGGGATAGAAGGCATTTTAACACACCTGCCTTCCCTCTTGTTGGGCATATCAGACCCGAATATATTCAGCAATACCAAATATTTCCCCAGTCCTGATACTTTACTGGTATTGGCCTGGGGAAATTTGGCATTTAGTGCCATTTTTAGGGTCTGATATGCCTGAAGCCAAAAAATACTGACTTCTTTTTTTTTTGCACAGCCCCAGTGAAAAGGGGTTCAGCCCTATAATGTAACCTCTTGTGACATTGTCTTTGATATAGCTTTGAATATATGACAGCAGTTAACTAAATTTTTGTTTGATTGTTCATGAAACATCTGTAATTGCTTGACAGATAATTATTTTCTGCTCAAGAGCATCGTCTTATGGAGTTTTGATGGGAGAAAGGGTAGGCTTGATATACAATTGACTGAAACATCAGTAATATTTCCTTAGACTATATGATTGGCTTACCATGTGAAGTGGTAAAAACATTCTTATTCTGCTTCTGAGGAGGAAGGCATCTTAACAGGCTTGGAAGCAGAGCGGACTTCTTCCTGTCTCCTCCAGTGATTGGATACCACTCCCAGTACTGGTCCTGCAGGACAGAGAGAGCAGGATTGTTGAAGAGGTCTGCTTCTTAACAGTGCTTCCAGCCACATCCTTAAGACTCCCAGACTTATCCTTGTCCAAAAGGCTTCCTTTCCCCCTTAGTGGTGAGTGAAAGAGAGAAGGCAAAAGAGAATAAAAAGCCTATACCTTCCTCTCTGAGATGGTTAAGAGCATAGATCCACTAATCCTAGGATCCTTCTGTGCTTCTGAGACTGCTGAACACCTTCCTGGCCCAGTTAGAAGACACATGGCAGAGGGGGCATCTCCCAAACCTAGGGGAAAACAGTTCTAGCTAGGGAATAGTTTATGACAGATATTACGGCTGATAATTCTGTATCTGTTGCTAGGCCACCACATTTTGGGATGTAGTTACAGCTAAATGTGATGCATTCTTCCTCCTATGCCATAGACTTGAAATGTTTTAGATTATAAATTAAATAATCCCCATCTCCCCAATACACCAACAGAAGTCCTGGTAATTGTTGTCAGTTTCTTGTATACCCAGAACAAAGTGCTGAGAACTGTAGGATCTTGGGAGTCTTTTTGTATATTTTTGCAAAAATATGAATGTGAAAATGGGCATATAGTCAGTATTATCTAAAGCATTCCATGGGTTTTTAAAGATCATTTGTGTGAATATTGGTTTTCATGTTATATTTTCAGGGAGAAGGTCTAGATCTTCACTTATTTCTTCCAGACAGCCACCCTAGTAAATATTCTCTCTTTATGTTGGTAAACGATTGTCATCCTAACAAACTAAATCCCGAGTCTTGTAATTCCGCTGAAAATCAAAGTGGTCAAAAACCAAGCAAACCAAAGTGGAGGAACATCACTCAAGAAGAGTGAGTTCATGTTTCTCTGTATCAACTACATATTGATTATTTTGTACTTTTGTTAGTGGTGTTGTTGATTCCTGCGTTTTCATTCTGTGTTCGGAAATTGTTTTAACACCCATAATTTATTAGGAAAAAAAATGTTCTTTTTGAAAAGGGCCGGCTGGGTCGAATGCTGGACTGTTCCAAGTATTATGCTCACAATTGGCTACGCATGGCATCCAATTTATCCCCAGAAAGCTGATGAGCAGTTAAAGCAGTCATGTAAGTGTCACCTAATTACTTTTATTGTTTAAACATTAGCAACATGGCAGAGTTATTTTAGGAGCATTTTGGGAAGAGAAACTGGAACCTAAGCAGAATAAACAGAAAACCAGAAGGAACTTTGGATATAAGCCATGGTGTATCTCTTTCTAGACTTTGAGTGGATTAAGCTATAGGGCCATTTTACAAAATTTATATCCTGCCTTTCTGCCCTTGGCAGCTAAAAAAATTAAAACATACATAATAAAATCACATTTTAAAACTATTAAAACAAACCAAAAAGAACAACACATCATTAAAACAAAAACAGAACTAAAATACATACAAAGACAAAAAAATCCAAAACATTGGTTAGGAAAGAGGCATCACTGAGGAAGTGCCAAATGAAACAAAAAAGTCTTTACCCACTGGCGGAAGATGGCAACAGAAGGGAACAGAGGAATTTTCTTGGGGAGAGAGTTCCAGAATTCTGGTGCCATGACCAAGAAGGCCCTCTCCTAGGTTGCCACCTGCCTAATCTCACAAGATGGGGACAACCTGAAGGTTCAGACAACCTATCTGAACAGGGCCTCTGAACATGACCATAGTTGTCAGGTAGGTTCATAAGGGAGTAGGCAGTCTTTGTACTTTGTCAGCAGGATTTTTTTCAGGAATGAGCCTCTGTGGGAGCCAAAACAATGTAGTCCGAGGGCAAAATGTGTGGGAGAGAGGTTTTAAGAAGAAATAATTTGAAGTTCTTGCTGGGAAACAAATGTTTTTCTGGTTGTGGGTATTTGACGTGGTGCATGCCCCTGGGGTGCCTGTTGAACTATTCATAAATTAGTACTTGCCTCCCATAGGAAACTTGTTTGTTTTAAAATTTATATGCCACCTTTCAATCCTTAAAACCTCCAAGATTGTTTGATGTTAAAGCTGTAAGATAAATATTGTGTTTAAAGCCAATAATGAATCGTAGGCCAATAATAGAAGGTAGTAGCAAAATTGAACACAGACAGGTCAAATTGCATATTAATAGCCAAAGTTTCCACTACTATGGAACCTGTCCAAAGGGGTATTCAGAACCTTCCCTGCAGAGGACGACCTTCTCCACTTAGGCCCCATACACCACCTGGATCTGAGAGCCCTACATCTGACGGCTTGGTGGGTCAACCCCAAGCCCTTATGACATCCAGGGTTGCAGAAGTGTTGACGGCATCTTGTAAACCTTCCACAAGGAAGTCGTATGAATGCAAATGGAAAAGGTTCTCCTTATGGGCAATTGGCCATGGGCTCTACCCAGAAACCTGTGCTATCTTTGATATTCAGGTACCTGCTCCATCTGAAAGAAGGGGGCCTATCATCCTCATCCATTAAAATTCATTTAACAGCCATTTCAGCCTTCCATGAGTTAGTTAACGGTTCCACTGTATTCTCTGCTAGAGAATTTAAACGGTTTCTTAAGGGTTTATGGAATTGTACACCCAGTCCCTCAATAAAGCCTGTCATTAGTGCTTTCCAAACTGATGTATAAACCATTCAAACCAGTGGCAACCATTGATTTGTGTCTTCTTCCATAGAAGGCAGCATTTCTAGTAGCTCTCACATCCGCCAGAAAGGTTGGTGAATTAAGTTCTCTCTGTTGTGATTCCCCCTTTCTAACGTTTCATGTAGACAAAGTTGCACTGAGACCTCCCCTGGAGTTTCTCCCCAAAATAGTCTCCAGATTCCACCTAGGTCAGGACTTACACACCTAATTTCTTTAAATGAAACGAAGTCCTCAGGGCCAGATGAATTGCATCCATGAGTACTAAAAAAAACCTTGCAGACATAATTTCTGAGCCTCTGTCCATTCTTTTTGAGAATTCTTGAAGAACTGGTGAGGTGCCAGAAGATTGGAGGTGGGCAAATGTTGTCCCCATCTTCAAGAAGGAGGAAAAGGAGGATCCGAGTAATTATTGACCTGTCAGCTTGATGTCTATACCTGGAAAAGTTTTAGAACAAATCATCAGTCAGTCAGTCCTTGAGCATTTAGAAAGGATGGCTGTGATTACTAAGATAAACAAATATAAGGTCAACAGTCGTGTTAGTCTGACCCGCAATCAACAGTCATACGACTTATAAGAATTGCTGTACATGTATTGTGCTCTGAAGCATTACAATATGATACACAACTTAATAGAATTTATAAACCAAGGTACAACGTCGTCTCCGGATTATTTACCAACGTTTCAAAAAATGAATCTTCTTCAGGAAATTTATAGAGGTGCCAAAGCTCTAATTTTCATAAAAGCTAGACAACAAGTCTTAAGCATATCACAATTCAGTAGGACGCTGATCTCAATTAACACACTGTGTTTTATTCTGGATCCTAGGCGTAATGCTTCAGAGCACAATACATGTACAGCAATTCTTATAAGTCGTATGACTGTTGATTGCGGGTCAGACTAACACGACTGTTGACCTTATATTTGTTTATCTGTTTTAGTCGTGTGTGTCCAGATTTTTGTGTGATTACTAAGAGCCAGCATGGGTTTTTCAAGAATGAGTCATGTCAGACTAACCTTATCTCTTTTTTCAAAAAAGTTACCAACTTGCTGGATCAGGGGAATGCTGTAGACATAGTTTATCTTGATTTCAGTAAGGTTTTTGATAAGGTTCCACATAATATTCTTGTTGACAAATTGGTAAAATGTGGTTTGGATCCTGTTATTGCTATATGGATCTGTAAACTGGTTGAAAGATTGCACCCAAAGAGTGCTTGTTAATGATTTCTCATCCTCTTGGAGGGGAGTGATGCCTCAGGGATCTGCCCTGGGACTGTTCTGTTCAACATCTTTATAAATGATTTGAATTAAGGAATAGAGGGAATGCTTACTAAATTTGCAGATGTTACTAAATAGCAAATACAGTAGAATACAGTAGCAAATACAGTCGAATAAAGTCAGGATACAGGATGATCTTGACAGGCTGGAAAACTGAGTTAAAACAAATAACATGAATTTGAACAGGGATAAATGTAAAGTTATGCATTTAGGTAGGAAAAAATCAAAAACATAATTATAGGATGGGGGAGACTTGTCTTGGCAGTAGTATGTGTGAAAAGGATGTAGGGGTCTTAATAGACCATACACTGAACATAAGTCAGCAGTGTGATGCGGTAGCTAAAAAGGCATATGCGATTTTGGGTTGTAAACAGGAATATAGTGTCCAGATCATGCAAAGTGATGATATCACTTTACTTTGCTCTGGTTAGACCTCACCTAGAGTATTATGTTCAGTTTTGGGTACCACAATGTAAGAAGAACATAGACAAGCTGGGACATGTCCGGAGGAGGGCAACCAGGATGGTGAGGGGTCTGGAGACCAAGTCGTATGAGGAAAGGTTGTAGGAGCTGGGTATGTTTAGCCTGGAGAGGAGACGACTGAATGGTAGTATGATAACCATCTTCAAGTACTTGAAGGGCTATCATATAGAGGACGGAGCGGAGTAGTTTTCTCTTGCTCCAGAAGGTCGTAACAAAACCAACGAAATTAAATGAAAAGAGTCTTCGGCTAAACATTAGGAGGAACTTCCTGACAGTTAGAGCTCAGTGGAACAGGCTTCTTCAGGAGGTGGTGGACTCTCCCTTCTTTGGAGGTTTTTAAACATAGAATAGATGGCCATCTGACAGCAGTGCTGATTCTGTCAACTTAGGCAGATCATGAGGGGGAGGGCAGGAAGGCCTGCCTCAGTGCTTAGTTCTTGTGGCCCTTTCTTACTTACCCAGGGAAATGTTGATCACTACTTTGGGATCAGGAAGCAATTTTCTCCAGGTCAGTTTAGCCAGGGATCCTGGAGGTTTTTTGTCGTCTTCTGGGCATGGAGCAGGGATCACTGGGGATGTGGGGGGAGTTAGTTGTGAATTTCCTGCATTGTGCAGGGGGTTGGGCTCGATGACCCTGGAGGTCCCTTCCTCTATGATTCTATCAACCTCCCGATCTTATTCCCATCAACATCCTCCTCCTCATAAAGGATAATGCATACATTAGATGTCAGGTGAGCTCTCCTTTTTTATTTATACAGGGCATACTTTCAGAGTAGATAGAAATTTATTCATGTTTCAGGGGTTGAAATAGAGCTAAATCCGCCTCTGCACAGACACTTGCCAGGTGGATTGTTTCAGCCATTAAGACAGCATACACTGAGTCAGGCATAAACTGCCCCTTTGCAATCTCAGCACACTCCACCAGGGCTCAAGCTTCGTCATCAGTCTTTTCAGCTGGTCTACCGCTCAAGGACATATGCAAGGCAGAGACCTGGTCAACTGTGGTCCCTGCCACACGGCAGGGAAAACACTGGCCAAAGTGCGGCTTTTAAAAGCCGCACCAAAAAAGAGATGCCGCGGCGGGATCCCACGATCCCCTGAGCCGCGCGCCGTTGCTCCTTGGCACGATCAGATGCCGGGGAGGAAGAGACGATTGGGAGGGGGAGGCTGCCGAACTGCGCATGCTCGAGCATGCGCAGTATGCCCGGGGCCCGGGGATGCGCTGGCGGAAAGACGCGCCGGCGATCCCACGGCTGGCAGTGATGCGGCCTTTCGGAAAGAACTACCTAGGTAGGTGGTTCTTTTTTGCTGCGGGGTTTGGCCGGGAGGGGCGGGTTGGGAATGGGCTGGGAACGGGGGCAGCACGATTCCCAGATGTTGCTGTGGGATCGCGCCCGTTTGCTGTGGCCCCGATCCGTCCCTCTCCCGGCCCAAAACCTCTCATGTGAACAGGGCCTGTGTTGACATTTGTGAAGCATTATTCAATGGATGTCAACTCTAGGAGTGAGGTAGCTGTGGGGAAAGTGGTATTGCAGTCTTCTGCTAATTCATCTCACACTCTCCTCCTTGCTGAGTGAATTTGATACTCTCCCATGTGGGACTGCACAGAAGCCATGACAGTGAAAACAGGGTTGCGCTTACCTGTAACTTTTGTTCATTGAGTGGTCTATCAGTGCAGGCACACATCCCTCCCTCCTTTCCCCGCTGTGGGCTTCTCATGGCATATATTCTTTACTTACAGCGTTGAAGGGAGAATTGAGGGAAGAGTGCTTGCCCCTCCCATGTCATGTCACATGACTTTGTGCAGGAAAGTTACACTGAATACTGGAGGGGCAATCTACTCTTGGGAATCTAGAAAATTCTTTCCTAGCTGGCCTGTGAAAGCGCAGTCCTATGTGTGCCTGCACAGAAGACTACTCAATGAACAACAGTTACAGGTAAGTGCAACCCTGTTTTTAAATTTAATTTTACCAATCCTTATTTAAACTTTAGAAAGAGGTATGGAAGATCTTGTGCGCCTGCATGAGTTTCTTGGGTGGGGTAAAAAATATCTTTTAGTAAAGAGAGAAATTTTGTTGAAATTTCCTGACTTATTCTCCCTTCCCTTCCCTTTGTTCTTAGCCTTGTGGAACTCATTTCCTCAGTGATCACATTAACAGTCGGCAACCTACCCATTTCAAACAGTTTAGTTCATATGTTGTTTTTACTGAGCTGTACATCAGTTAAATACTTGTTGACAAAGTTTAGGAAAGCCTTCACATTAGCCAGATGTTTCCCCTCCGCGATGCTTGAGGGCAGATTCAAAAGAATCCCTACTGAATATAGATTTTGTCAATGGGGCTCAGGAGAGATAGAAACTATTGAGTACATGATGCTCAGATGTAACTGGTATAACAAGATCTGTGACAAATATATTACTCCTCTTATAACGGATATGGTGGGACAAACAGGTGCTGAGCAGTGTAACCAATTGTTAATCGATGGGAACCGGATAATTACTGAAATGGGTAGTGTGCAACTGCATACGAAATACACAATCAAATATATAATAATAGTTGCCTAATAGTCTGTTTTATGTTTTTCCTTTATTTTATTATGCACAACTATATTTTTATAGAGTTTTATTTTATTGTCTTAAATTCAGTTTTAGGAATGTTATATTTAAGCATGTGCATTCTATGGCTTCGTATCATATTGTACTTGTTGACAACATTATTTTACTTTTTTATTATTCCCAAGTGTCAGAAATGGAGGGGACAATGTTATCTGGATTGAGACCATCCCAGAAGAAATCCCCTTTAGCATCTTCCCGCCCTCCTATTGACCCTTCAGAGCTTCCACCTGATAGACTCCGTGTGGAACTGGAAATCTCTCCAGACTCTCATATAATTTTATATGGACCTCTTTTGAAAGCCTTCCTGTCCATAAAGGTATGGAGAACACCCTGGGCTCATAAGTACACAAACCCTTGGCACAGGGGGTCTGCACCCTACAGCTCTAGAACCAAATGTGGCTCAGTATGCAACTAAATATGGGTCTTTAAAAAAGAAAATCAAATCTTTAAGGTATATTGACAGGATAGGTGGGATATCTGTGTGGTAGATGGAATACTCAGTGCAGTTTGGTGTAGTGGTTAAGTGCGCGGACTCTAATCTGGGAGAACCGGGTTTGATTCCCCACTCCTCCACTTGCACCTGGCTGGATGACCTTGGGCAAGCCATAACTCTGGCACAGCTGTTCTTGAAAAAGAGCAGTTTCTGTCAAGAGCTCTCTCAGCCCAACCTACCTCACAGGGTGTCTGTTGTGGGGAGGGGAAGGGAAAGGAGTTTGTAAGCCGCTCTGAGACACCTTTGGGTAGTGAAGGGCGGGGTATAAATCCAATCTCTTCTTCTCTTCTTCTACTAGAATAACCAGTAAGTAAAGGGAATGGCAGGCTAAGATTTTTATTGGCCTAAAGGGCTTCTTAGAGATGCTGTAAAAAACAAACTGCTAGAAGTGAACAGTTGCCAGTAACCAAGGTGTGAGGCATGCACAGATTTTCCTGTGTATATTTCCTGTATATATTTCCTGTGTATATTTATTATTGTGAGACTTCATGTGGGCCACTTCCTAATAAAGGACTTGCAACAATCTGTGATTGAGCCACAGAAACTTTATGGATTATCAACATGACAATTATCTGTACCGTTGTCTAGTTTTGGTTATGCAGATTGACTTTTTATACTGGCTGTTTGTTGAATACTTGAATTTTTGACTTAGTTTGGTTGTTTAATTATAAAAGGTTGTAGACCCCTTCCTCTGTGAAACTTGTGAAACATAGTGAGTATTGTTCCCTTTAGAGGCTGAATTTCATATTAATTTTCATCTGGGTCATCTGCGTAACATCATTTGCTATATAAAGGAAAGTCTAGATGTTAGCCGAATTGCTTTATTTACAGCAATTGGCAATTTATAAATGGGTCCTTGCCAACTATACCAAGGTCCTGTTCCCACCGAGGGTTACCAGAGAAGGATAACGAGGCTGTTGTTGTTAAAATAAATGTCTTTTACTTAAAGAATATAAATCTCATACAAACAATACTGATGCACTCACACATTCAATCAAGTTCCTTAGAAATACAGTATTAAAATAAGCACTGTTGCATTAGCAGGTGGGGGTGATGATGGGCAATATTTATCTGTCTTCGCAGCTTTGGTTGTCCCAATGAAGAATGGATGGGGAGAAATGTAAACTAGGGAATTCACACACGACCAGAACCAGCCAGAACGTGTGGGTCTCTTGACTGCAGATCAAGAGATCAAAGTAGAGGCAAGGGTTTGGGGATAGCAAGTGGGACTCAAGAGGAGTAAAAAGCAGACAGGGGTTGTTGCGGGGGTTGCTAGCTAGGAAGGGCCAGGTGAATGGTCCTTACCTTTTATAGTGGATCCATTAGGTGGGAGGTAACTGTTCCAACCTGTGGACCCACCTACCTGTTAGTCCGTCCCAAAACTAATCCTATTGGTTGCCTATAGGAGTGGGAGGTTACCTAAAGGGGTGGCCAATATTGAAAACTAATACCTTACTCAAAGAAGTACATCTGGGCAGGTGTGAAAACCTTGGCGTCAGGATGCTTCATTGAAGTGTTGATAAAAGCTGGCCATTTCATTGTAAACCAAATGTCCATTTGGCAGGAAATACCAAAGCAGGGACAAAACAGTGATGTGTCATACGTGATCACAACTAGATCTGCAATGGGGGCTGTCTCTTCTCAAAGCTGTTGTTTCTTACTGCTCACAATAATGGAGGTGTGTGCTTCTTCACCAGGCTGGTAACTGTGTACCTAAAACCTTATTCCCATGTAAGGCTTGTGCAGGCACCTTCTATGTGTTACATCACAACAGGTGAATTGAGATGTACAGTTCTCTGAGCCTATGTGTGTGTGTGCACAGTCCATTGTGTGTAGCAATAAATATAAGTCCATAAAGCAAATATCAAGTTCATTCTCTAACATAGATACTTATATACAAGATAATCCCTCCCCTTCCCGATATGCCATCCGCCCCAAAAAGAGGGTGTTGTCTTAAATCTGCATACAAGTTACAGTTATGTCTAATAATAAAAACCTTTTGGGATATAACTTTTTAAAGGGGGGTGTCTTACATTCAGGGTAGTCTTCAAGTAAAGATCAAGTAATTCAGAACTGAGGGTGATGATTGCAGTCCATGCATGGATTAACCTGCACTGGTGCTCCTCAGGGCTGCTATTAACATGAACCTTATCTTAATTTGATCGATGAAGAAAGGCCTGAGAAGGCCTAATTTTATTTGCTTTGTTAATAATGTATTTTATTATTTATCATCTTTCCAAATTTCTAGGTTTTTAAAAAATGAGTGTTTACAGGAAACCATCCGCTTCTGAAGTATGTAATAGGATGTCTAACCTTGATCCTGCAGGTTCTATTGGTATAATCAAAACTCAAGGTTTATTGTTGTGTTTAAAGTGGATTGCAGAACTAGTGCTTGATTGAGGTATAAAGGTTTATGTTATGCTCTCTTACGAAAAGTGTTGCTAATTCATCCTGCCAGGAAAATTATTTTGGTGAAGATGATATGTACACTGACTTTGAAGAAGTGATTGCAAGCCCTGTGCTATCCATGTCAACATCTTCAAGTTCTGGGTGGACTGCGGTAGGAGTGGATGCTGACAAGAAAGAGAGCGAGACGTCAGGCAGGCAGGCTCATCCTCTAACTATGCGCCCTTGGGATATTACTGTGCTTGTTAATGTGTACAAAGTGCATGGACGACTACCAGTGGTAAGTGCTTTGGGTCATTTATTACAAACATCATGTATACAGTAGGCTTAGCTAAACATAAGGTGCAAAAAATATACAAGTAAACTGTTTTGAAGACCGGTCCTGGCAAAGGTGAGGTAGAAATTTTCTAAGTAAAAGAAATACAAATGCAGTGCCTGGCTTTGGTCTCTGGGATGTGGTGAGATTGTGGTGTAGCTCTTCCAGTGGGGCATGAGCACCCTGAAAAAATGTTATTAAGGATTACAGGGAAGGTATGCTTATTGACCAATACAAGAACATGCAACTAAGGGAGAGGAGGGCAATTTTTCTCTTCCCTACTTAGAGTATTGCTGCCCCCACTGAGTCATGAAGGAACTGCATATAGCTGTATCCCTTTTAGCAATGTGTTGCACATAGTAGCTGTTGTCCACTCACTTGTTTCAGCCAAGTGAAACCACCAGGTTTCAGACTGTGTATATATTATGACAGTGTGGAAATATGGAATGCATTTTTTCTAGGTCCCAAGGAATATATTGAAGCATCTGTCCCCTAATCCTCAAGCATTTATGTTGGGTGAAAGCTTGACTGGTTACCAGATTTTTGAATGAATGAATGTTATTAAAAAACCAATCTTTTAAGGAATAGGACAGTAGTAGTAGTGAAGACACCCGGGAGAATGTATATGTTAACTAAGAAAATATTATTTTGTCTATTCCACCCTTTATGCTAATTTCATTTCCCTTTGAATGCAATTTGGGATAAAAATGTTTCCAACACTCCCTTAGTGTACAAGGGAAGAGGCATGTGAAACACCACATGGTGATTTACCTTATTAAGACTGAGAAACATTCAGCACATGGAGCAGTATAAAACTGAGAGCAAAGTTTTATCATTTTCTTTCACTTTGTGTCTGCATGACGTGGCTAAAGGCTTTAAACATGTGAGAAGACTGATGCTGCCACTGGTATTTCATCAATTTGAATTATGTTTTGAATTATAAGATTATAATTAATCTTATAATTCAAAACATAGGAATTATATGTTTAGATTGTGGTGTCCTCGCCTATTGGGGAGACTGTTTCTCCCTTAAAACATACTCTGTGTACATGAACTTAGTAGATTTCTGCTGCCACCATGAATTAAAAATTCCAAATCTCTCTATTTTGGTAGAATGACCCAGTGTCTGGGCTTTTCAGAAGACTATGTGGCCCTGAGGAAGGACTGTACTGATTGCTGGGATAAGTTTAAACAAATAATGATTTATTTATAAAAGAACAAAATAGGTTTCTGGGTATTTTTGAACTGTTGTTGAAGAAAGAAAATATAACTGACAAAGCTTGGTGTCACATACAGTCTCTCAAACACCAAAACTCAACTCTGACAGGCTTATGTCTCTGTCTCTTTTATATAGCCACACAGGCTGAACTCTCTCATATAGCCACACAGGCTAATCTCCCAACTGCTTCCTCTATCATACAGACTCTCACAAAAAACTCTCCACACTCATCTCTCTACAAACACAGAATGTCAGAGTGTCAGAGACATCTCAGAGACATCTCTCATCCCATACTCTCTGTCATCAGCCAATCACATCACACTTATCTCCCTCTATCACTCTTCTTACATTACTGCAGTCACACTAAACATTTAAAGAAACACGCACACCAAAACATGAAATCATTATATAGATATTCTGAACAAGCCTTAGCAGTATTCCTACCCATTCCTCTAAGATACCATATGGTTGCAACAGTCTGATTCTGAAGAGATCGTTGTTTCATTTGCCAACCTGTTAGAAATAATTTTGTGAAAATAGTAAAGGTAAAGGTTTCCCTTGCTTGAAAGCTAGTTGAATCTGACTCTAGGGGGCGGTGCTCATCTCTATTTCCAAACCAAAGAGCCAGCGCTGTCAGAAGACATTTCTGTGGTCATGTGGCCGGCATGACTAAATGCCAGGGTGCACGGAACACTGTTACCTTCCCACTGAAGCAGTACCTATTTATCTATTTGCAATTTCTTGCTTTCAAACTGCTAGGCTGGCAGGAGCTGGGGCCAGAGGCTGGAGCTCACTCTGTCACGCTGCACCAGGGTCTCGAACTGCCGAACTACAGACCTTCCAGTCTGCAGCTCAGCGTCTTAACCTCCGAGCCACCATGGTCCCTTTTGTGAAAATACATTCCCACAAAAAGTACTATCAGATATGTGCTCATGTGGGAAAAGTTTGAAAGGAAAGCATATCGTGCTGTGTATGCTATTTACTGATCCTTGTGTGTATCATCTGAGAATGCAAACGTAAATCTTCAGAACAACTAGTATAAGTATTAGATGACATTTCTTGTGTTGCCAACTGTGAAGAACAGTATGGATTTCTCTCATATCTTGATAACCTTTGATGTTCTAGTTAACAACTTTCCACTGACTTTTTTTGGTGGTTTAAACTCCAGCACTGCAGCAGTGATGGTCCTGAATCTCCTACAGTTTTCTTGGAAAGATTATGCTTTGAGATGAAAAAAGGATACAAGGAGACAATGTTGCAACTCGTGTTGTCGCCAGTGAATTTGTTTTTGAATGACAACTACCAGGTAATTCATTATTTCATTCATTATGTCTGGTAATTCATTATTTTAAAATTAATTCAGGCTGTCATGTAGGTTTTTCCTCAGGTTACATGCTTTCAAAGCAACTTGAAAGAAAACAACTAAGAAAATCACACCAAAGTGGCAGTTCTGTTATCATCATAGTATGTTTCTCTCCTGTCATTATCTTGCATGCAAAGGAGAAGATTCCTTTCCATCTGCTGCTTGACCTAAAAGTGTCTAGAAAGGCAGCATAGATAATTCAGTGCATCGGTTTTAATATGTTACCTCATTGTAAAAATCTTTTGCTGCTTTGGTTGCCTGCTTCTGAGCAGTATGTATATTTTCTGCGCTTGTAACTGATGCCGCACTTAGTGTGGACACCTGATTTGCATAGCCCGCTGCAGCCCAGAACTCCTGAGCTCACGCAGTCTGCCGGCCTCAGCCTCCCTGGCAGCCGGGATTACAGGCGCGTGCCACAGATTTGTGCTACATAACCATCCAGTGATACCAGTTTCAGGGGATTTGGTCTTTGCTTCCCCTTTCTGGCGTATTGATCCCCCTGCACCAAGGATTGCTTGCTGGCTTCGGTTTTGCTTGTTGGCTCTTGCTGCTAATGCAGAGCAAGAATTGGACTTTGCTGTGCCACTCCCTTCCTCCAGATATTCATCAATGGTGCACATCTGGCCTTGCCATCCCCAGCCCTTGAAGTCTGTTGGGCAACACCAGCCAGCCAGTGCCATGCCTTGGTACTGAGAACCAGCTGGTACAGCAGGATCCAGAAACATTGTCAACTCAAGGCTTCACTGTCTTGTCTACTTGCTGATGAATGAGTAGAAGGAAAATTCATTTGTAGGAAATATTCTGATTTGAGGCCTCTGGCAGACATTATGTATAGCCATAAATATTTAATGGCTATTAAATTCCTTTGGGTCACCATAAATAAGCATTTAACTTGCCTAAGGACTGTTTTTGATATAACAGATTAACATAGTTACTCTTCTGGAATAATATTTGTGCTTAAGTGTGCATGATGGTATAAGTTCACACAAGAGCGTGGGGAGAGTTTCCATTTCAGCAGCTTCCATGACAATTGCTGGATAATTTTTTGAACAAAATATAGAAAGGCACTGAAATTGGGTTTGTAGATTATACATGTTTCCTTTGAAACTGTAACTGCTGTGTTATGATGGTAAATAAATATGTATTAAACAAGCAGCAACCTGCAAGGACTTGTGAGGTGAATTTTACTCTCCCCCCCACTATTTCATCTTTCCCTTCCTTTGTAGACCCTCATAGTCACTTCTGTTTTCCTGCCTCCTCCTCATCTACCTTTCTCTCTTTCACATCTTTAGTTTTCTGCCCTACCCTAACCCTTGCCAATTGGCTGGGTACTGCTTTCCTCACCTTGGGCAAGCCAAGCACTGTTTGTTAATTCTTGTATTTGTATGCTGATTTACCACTATTCACAGATCTTATCAACTGCCTTAATTCAATCTCAGCTGTAATTGCCCAGTTACTTATGCATCTTGACTCTAACTAGCCCTTCTTGGCAACCCCCACTCTACCTATATGCAGGGCTTTTTTGTAGGAAAAGCCCAGCAGGAACTCATTAGCATAATAGGCCACACCCAACAGCTGAAACTCATTAGCATATTAGGCCACACCCTGACACCACAGCTCATTAGCATATTAGGCCACAGCCCCATGTTGCCATGGTCATCCAGCCACACCCACCTTTTGCTTCTTATTCTGTTTACCTTGTTTGTTGTCAAAACCCAGGGCCTTTTTTTGTAGCAGGGACTCCTTTGCATGTTAGGCCACACACGCCTACTGTAGCCAATCCTAATGAGTTTCTGCTGTTGGGTGTGGCCTATTATGCTAATGAGTTCCTGCTGGGTGTGGCCAACTCAGGAGCCAGCCGGAACTCTATTCCTGTGCGTTCCTGCCCCAAAATAGCCCTGCCTATATGTAATGGTTGAGGAAGTTTTGTTTCACTGTACCTGAAGAAGTATGCATGCACACGAAAGCTTATACCTTGGATAAAACTTTGTTGGTCTTAAAGGTGCCACTGGGCTTAAACTTTGTTCTGCTGCTTCAGACCAACACAGCTACCTACTTGAATCTAGCGATTTGCCTTTATAAGGATGCAATTTTAAGCAGGTCAGCTTGGAAGTAAGTCCCATTTTATTTGTTGGGACTTATTCCCAGGAAAGTGTTCTTACAATTGCAGCCTAAAAGTTTTATGCAGCCTGAATAGCTGCTGGGTCAAAGGAAAAGGTTTCCCAAAGGAAAAGCAGTCCCACTAGGTGACCCAGAGAGGCTTCTCAGGGTGATTCTGCACGAGTGGTAGTTGCTGCCTCCTTCAGTCAGCATGCTGGTATGTCACTCATATGGAAGAAATGGTGATATTATGAAAACAACTCCATTAGAACAGTGTTAGAATTATTTCCTATAGTTTTGTTTCACACAGAACTTGATCACCAGGAATATATCCAAAGCATTATAGGAGGCATTACTGTATATGTTATTGCTGAACTTCTACAAGGTACCAGGTTGGCTGTTTGGTCCAGTGGAAGATTTAAATTACACTTCCATCAGTAGTGGAATCAACCTTTCCCTCAGTGATGCTATTTTAATAAAAGATAAACTGATATATTAAGAAGATTGTATATTTCCATTGATGTGAAGTATACATGTAGCCTTTCATACTGAGATTGTTATTTGGATATTATTTTTATTTATTTCTTTATTTTGAGATTTGTATTCTGCTCTCCCCAAAGCGGGCTCAGGGAGGATAACAGGAAACTGAGTCCAAGACTCATTACAATAAAATCACATTAAGATTATTAAAATAATAAACAATAAACAATAAAATTCAAACAGGTAGCCCCAGTTTTATATAAATCTGTTAGGGCCACAGGGTGTAATCAAATGGGCCCTTTCAGTGAATTATCACATTGATTTAATGTTGATACTGTGGTTGAAGTTGCTACAGTGACATTTATATATTTTCATAAAGGCTATAGTACATTGATTCTGATGACCTTGTGACTTGTTTAATACATGCATATTAACTATGTGGACCAGAATACAGTAACCTTAATCAAAGGTTGGTGGTTTGACATATGATTGATATACAAAAAAGTCTCTTGATCTGATTTTTCTTTTCTTTGTAGTTATAGTTTGAATGACAAAAATGTAACTTTATGTATTAGTGAATATTTAATTCTTTGTTTCATAGAAAAACTGCCACTGTCTAATGGCCATAACTATTTCTAGCTTGCTAATTCAAAAATTATTTTAGCTATTTGCTCAGTGGAGAAGTTTTTCATTCTTAATAGAGACCTCCTATGGATGAAGTACTTCGAGAGGGTCATATCAGCCTTTCAGGTTTGCAGCTACGGGCCCATGCTATGTTTTCAGCTGAAGGTTTGCCACTGGGAAGTGATTTGTTAGAATATGCATGGTTGATTGATGTGCAAGCTGGAAGTCTGACAGCTAAGGTTACAGTTCCACAGGTATGTAACTTGGTTTCAAACTGGGATGTGTTCATCTCTTTTCTTTGCATTCACTTTTGATATATTGAAGTAGAAGGTTTGAAAATTGCCTGAGAGTTTAGAATACATTTATTTAAGCTTTGCTGTTGTTTCTTAAAGCAGCAGGTATTGATGGGAATTCCTACAGAGTTCTCTGCTGTCTGACATGGGTTGTAGCTCAAAATTCATGTTAAAATGAAATGTTGAGACAGGAATCTTTGAACAGAATCAGAATGAGAACAATGGCTTATTATCCATCTTCCTGTGCAGCCCCACATTGGGACTGCGCCTGCTCAAGCCAGCTGTGGACATTTTCTTTTCTAACTTAAAGCTCCAAAGGAGGGTGCCCTGCCCCACTCGGAGCTGGTGCATGTACAGGATTTCACGCCTGACACATCACATGCTACAGGGGTGGGCACCCCCTCTCTCAGTTCCATTTTCGTGGCTACGAGGATAGTTTTCTAGTGTGCTGCATATTTCATTGTTTCTACCGAAGATTAGACTCTTTTCTTTGGAAAATTCTCCTTCTATTCTGGAGACTCAATTTACCAGGAGGTAATCCATTCCTCAGATGTATTTTTCCATGCCTACTGTGCTCTTGGTCAAGACCGCAATCTTAGAGGGTTTATCAGATCTTACAACCCCAGTTTGGCAGAAACCAGGTTTGGTAAAGGCATCTCCTCATAAAATTGAGAATCTGTATAGAGTCAAACAGGACTCTTGTGAATTTTTGTCTACCCACCCACCACCCATCTCCCCTTGTTACGGAAGATATGCAGGCACACCGATGACTTGACCAGCACTCTTCTCCATCTGAGAAAGTCACCATTTGGACATGCTGGGGAGAAAATTCTGTGCATCATCAGCTCTTAACTTCTGAGTTGCTAACTACCAAACCATTATGGGAGGATATCAACTCTTCCTTTGGAAAATACTCTCCTAATATTTAGATAAGCTACCAGATGACTCCAGATCCTTGGCCAAACTTATTCAAGTGGAAGCCGTTAAGCTTTCAAAACAGGAGATCAATGCGGGTAGACACATTGTGGAAGTCTTGGCCAGATCTTTGGCATCTGCCATAGTCCTTTGGAGACATTCTTGGCTTAGAAACACTGCTCTCCCCTTAAAGACTTGCTTCAAAGTTGAAGATCTTCCATTTGAAGGATCAGCTCTGTTCTCGCAATCTACTGATGAGTTCCTGGTGGCCATGAAGAACCACCAGGCAGCGAGATCCCTGATCATGTTTCCTCCAACACTTAACCAGAGGCAACACTTCCAACAGAGACAGCATGGTTTTGCAATCCCCTTTCATAAGGGCCAGAGACAACATCATCCACCCTCTTTCCCGTATTCTCAATGCCCGTTCCAGTCACCACCTTTCCTCAAGAGGAAGGGTAACCCAAGGCAGAATTCCCCTCAGAGTCCCTAAAGGGAGCATTGTCAACCACCAAAATTCTGACTAACTGTCCCACTGGTGGCTGAGCTGTTAGCATTCAGAGATAGCCTGGCACACTTTGTTGATGCTTGGCAAGACGTCACTTGAAATGCTTGTATTTTGTCTATTATTCAGAATGGTTATAGGTTAGCATTGCTGTCTCAACCCCCTTGCCATCCGGCCGTGGCCGTGGTGGACAACTCTGAGCTTAGAGTACAACTAGTAGAGCAGGTCCCAGGTGAGTTCCTCTCCCAGGGTTTTCATTCTAGATTTTTCTTCATTAACAAGAAAGATGGCAATCGTAGACCCATTTTAGACCTCAGGAAATTCAGAAAGGTGTTGCTTTCTTCCATCACTGAATTCCTTACCCTGGGTGTTTGGTTTGCTGTAGTAGATTTGAAAGATGCATATTTTCACATTTCAATTCATCATGCTCACAGGAAATTCTTGAGCTTCAGACAAGGCTCTGAGGTATTCCAGTATACTGCCCTCCTGTTTGGTTTGACCACTGCACCTAGAGTTTTCACCAAGTGCTTGGCAGTGGTAGTGGCACATTTACGCACTCAGGGTTGCCATATATCCCTGTAACTAGATGACTGGCTGATTGTAATCCCTAATCAGGAATCACTAGGCGATCAGGTTCACCTTATCGTTTCCACCTTCAACAGACAGCGTTTAATGATTATTTGGGGAAAATCCTGCTTGGAACCATCTCAAAAAGTACAGTTCATTGGTGCCTCCCTAGATGCAACAGTTGGGAGGGTCTTCTTGCCTTTAGAAAGAGCCAGAAGCATTAAGGCTATGGTTTCCAGCGGTATAAAAAGTACTGGAGCTATTGTGGGCAATCCAGAGGTTATTAGGTCTAATGGCTTCAACCACTGCGGTAATTAGGTTTACAAGACTCCACACGTGGACCTTGCAGATCTAGTCTGTGAAGAAATATGATCCCAGTAAACACCCCCAAGACATTCCTTTTCAATATCTAGGAGGGTGGTGAGGTCTCTGTTTTGGTAGCTAGAGGACTCTAAATTATTTTCTGGGATACAATTTGAGTTTTGGGCCTCGAAAGTCACCTTGACCACAGGTGCTTCCTTATTGGGTTGGGGGGGGGGCACTGTGAGGGTTTCTTGGTATAGGGCAGGTGGCCTTTGACACAACCTACCTTTCATATTACCATCTTAGAGCTCCGTGTGGTAAAACTTGCTTTACCTCATTTTCAGATATTTTGAGGAACAAAAGGGTGCTGATCCAAATGGACAATACCACTACAGTATTCTACCTCAACAAACTGGGAGGCATGGGCTCCCAGAGACTCTGCCTAGAAGCTATGGCAGTGTGGGGGGTAGCTATGGATATAGGTGCTATGCCCAGAGCCATTCATATAGTGGGATCCCTGAATACAGAGGCAGACAGCCTGAGCAGGACCTATCAAGCCAAATACAAATGGTCTACTCAGGAAAAATATATCAGGAGAGTTTTTGAGGATTGGGGGTACCAGCAAGTAGACTTATTTGTCACACTCAAGTCCAGGAAGGCACCAGAGTTTTACTCCCTAGGAGGGAATGAACCACACTCGGGGATGAATTGCAGATTACTTGGTCAGGAAAACTCTTCTATGTTTTCCTTCCCTCTCCTGGGCAGGATGATAGGGAAAATCCTAGCACATCGCACAGGCTGTATTCTAGTGGCCCCTTTCTGGCCTCACTGGATGTGTTTTTTGGAACTACTGCACTTAGTGGGCAAGGATTACCTTCCATTTCCTCCAGATCCGGACTTGTTGAGGCAGGGTCCTCTGCTGCACCATGATGCAGCACATCTACGTTTGACAACTTGGAGAATTCGTCCATAACATCTGCCTTCTCCGAAGGAGTGAAGAGGGTTGTCCTACTACTGGAAGTGGATCCGTTTTGAGTTATGGACATCCACTAGATGGGAATGCCCATTTACTTGTCCATTGTCATCTGTTTTAGAGTATTTGCTTTCACTGGCTCAGACCAGTTTGGTGGTTTCTGCAGTTAGGACCCACCTTGTAGCCATTGCTGCTTTTCATGAAGAGGTGCAGGTGAATTCTGTGTTTGCTCATAAATTAGCTCAGCACTCCTTGAAAGGGCTGTCTGATGTGTTCCACCCTATACCCCATATAGTTCCGCAGTGGTCCTTGCTGTTAGTTTTGGCTAAACTTTTGAACCCCCATTTTGAACCCATGGCCTCTTGCTCCTTAGTACTACTCTCAAGAAAAGTAGCATTTCTAATAGCAGTTACTTCAACTAAAAAGATGAGTGAATTAGCAGCACTTAGGACTGACCCTCCCTTTTTTAATGTGTTTAATGAGCAGGTAATTCTACACCTAAGCCTTGACTTCTTGAAAAAACTGGTCTCCAAGTTTCACCTTGCCCAAGAGGTAGTCTTACTGGTGTTTTTCCCAGCTCCAAACTTGGAGGCAGAGAGAGCTCTACATACTCTGGATGTCAGAAGGGTCCTCCTCTATTATTTGGAAAGAACCAAACTGTTTTGTAAAGACAAAGCATTGTTTATTTGCTACTGCGGTTTCAAGAAAGGTAGGGCTGCATCATCCCAGTCAGTATCCAAATGGGTAGTGGCGGCCATCCAGTCATGTTATGCAGTGGCCAGAGAACTATGCACTCTGGTGGTGAAAGCTCATTCTACCCGAGCACAGGGGTCGTCAGCAGCTTTTTATTAAAGAATTCTTTTCCGGGACACATGCCGAGCAGCAACTTGGGCATCAGAAGAGACATTTGTGAAATACTTTGCCTTGGATCTTCAAGCGAGAAAAGAGGCTGATGTTTGCAAGGCCATCCTTCAGGCATTGTTCCAGTGAGAGACTCACCCCCCCCTCCTCTGGTGAGCAGCTCGCTAGTGGTCCCAATGTGGGGCTGCGCAGAAAGACGGATGATGAAAACATGGTTGCCCTTACCTGTAACTGTTGTTCATTGATGTCTTCTGTGCAGACACACATTCCCTCCTTCCTGCCCTGCCGTGAGTTCTCACAGAACCAAAAAAAGAAAAGAAAGAAATTAATGTAATGAGATGAAGGAAAGGAGATACAGAGGGCTTGCGGTGGCTTGACAGGAACTGAGGGAGAGGGGCACCCCCTCCCTTGAGCATGTGATACGTCGGGCAGGAAATCCCATGCATGTGCCGCTACAAGGGAGCGCAGCGCCCCTCCTTTGGAGCTTTAAGCTAGAAACAAAAATGACCGTGGCTGGCCTGTGCAGGCCCAATGTGTGTCTGCACAGAAGACATCAATGAACAGTTACAGGTAAGTGCAATCATGTTTTCAAATCTTTGAACCTAATAACCATGGGTGCAGCTTTTTATTGCCCTTCAGTTTAACTACTGAGGACCAGCAGCATGTATTTCAAATAAGGTTTAGACTGTCCTTTGATTTCCTATGTTTTAGCAGGAAACCCATATTCATTACTTGGCTGTAATCTCCATTTTATTTTGATCGGGTTGGTAAATAGCCATACCATATTTTCCTGAAATATATGTATTTCTGGTGCCGTGACCTCGTCAGATCATGGAAGCGAAGCACGGTCAGCCCTGACTAATATTTGGATGGGAGATCTCCAAGGAATACCAAGGTCGTGATGCAGAGGCAGGGGATGGCAAACCACCTCTGAAGGTCTCTTGCCTTGAAGAACCCCACAGGGTAGCCATGTGTTTCAGCTGTGACTTGATGACACTTTCCGCTGCCATGTATTTCAGACAGAAACTATTAACAGGCAGTTAATATGAAGAAAGCATTGCCAGTTTTTGTACCGAGAGGGAACAACACATTTCAGATGGCCATCAATAAAATGGCCACAAGCCAAAGGCTTGTAGAGAACTTGTTCACCCGTTGCATTCTGTACTGTCCAGATTTCAAACGTATAGACATTCAGTGAGCTTTTTTGCTCAGTCACACCCACTTTATTACAGGCTCCATCCTACATGGCTTTTGCCTTATGGTTGTCAGAGGAGACCCCATTCTTCCTTTTTCACCAGGAGAAAAATTGGTTGTATCTAATACTCTAGTGTTGCATGAAAAGCCATTATGTTTGGCATTTCAGTTTCTGTGAAATATACTTTCAGTGAGAAAAGCATGCTTAACTATAATAATGTGCTTACTAAAGAATTCTGCACAGCAAAATGTTGGCTAGGGATAAGAAACTTGTTAGAATATCTAGATTTGAGTCCAGTAGCACCTTAAAAACCAATAAGATTTTTGAGGATATAAGCTTTCAAGATACCTGACAAAGGAAGCTTTTTGGCTCTCGGAAGCTTATCTCAATTTTTTTGGGCTGGGGTCTCTGAGGTGCTACTGGACTATATTCTAGCAGTTTTGCTGCAGCCCAACACAGCTACCTTCTGAAACTTGTTTGAATATTATGTCACATGAAAATATAGCAAAGACTCTTCCAGTAGAAGTGAACTTCTGAAATAAAGTAACTTGCAACTAATTTTGCAGGTAGAGAATATTTGGGCAAACGTTTGGGATACTGTTTTAAACCATTCTAAAGAGACGAGTTTTCAATTCTACAGATGTTAATGTTGCAGGAATTGGAAACCGTAAACATTCGATTTCATAATCATAAAACTATTATTTTAAAAAGAGGACAATTTCTTTAGAAATTGCCGAAGTAGATTCGTTTCAAAATGGTTATTCAACATTATACTTAAAGAATGTAAAAAACATATAAGAAATTAGCAATTTTTATTAAGGCATCAAATTATCTTACAGAACAGGTATGAGAATCAGCTGGTAGAAACCTATATTGCCCTTTTTGAAGTCTGTTCCATAATTTTAGACCTCTTTAAGATCAATGTGATTCATTCTTTGAGGTCAAAGTCTTCCTCTGTATTTGCAGCTTGCATGCCTGCTTGAGTGGGGACAAACATTTGTGTTCCATGTAGTGTGTCGTGAGTTTGAACTGGAACGGCCAAAATCTGTAATTACATGTCAGCATGGAATTGATCGCCGCTTCTGTGAATCAAAGGTAATGCTTTTTGCTATGTTCTGGTATTCTCTAGTTGTAACCAGTGTTCCCTCTAAGCTGAGTTAGTGTGAGGTAGCTCACAGTCTTTTAGCCTCCAGCTCACACATTTTTTGTCTTAGCTCAGGAAGGAGGGCTCCAGAGCAAACTAACTGATGCAGTAGCCAAATCACCTGCTCACAACTTTAATGCCAGTAGCTCACAAAGTAGAATTTTTGCTCACAGGACTCCACAGCTTAGAGGGAGCATTGGTTGTAACCTATAGTAAAAATGTAAACTAAGAAACATCATACACACTGTGAGGCTCCCCCACCGCTGAGACAGGCTTCTGGTTGTCCCACCGCCAAAGAGGGCATCTCGCCCACCAGCCTCAGAATTGGGAAGGAGAGGAGGTCTGGCACCCTGGTCCTCTTCCTTCCCCAGGTTGACTCTCTGCACCCTCTCTTTGTTCCTTGTCATAGCCCAGTCTGCTTCTTCCTCTCCTGCCACGAGTAGAAGACATCCTTATATGGGATTTCTGGACTCTACCCCCACCAGTGGCCTCAATCGCAGCTTTCCCTGTCCCCCTATGGTAGCCATAAGAGGCAAGGGTTCCCAACCCTTTTTCTTTGCCCTCTAGCCCAGAGCCTGCCCATGAGGCTCAAGGGCACAGCTTGCTCTCTTTCACCCTGGCTTCCCCCCATCCTGGCTTGGCCCCGTTGTTTGTTCTTAATCCCCTCCTACCGCGCCCAGCAAGGCTGGGCTCCTTGCCTCCAGGCCTGCAGCTCATGTAGGGCAGATGGGGTTCCCTTCCTTGATGGCCTCTGCCACTCCTCCCTGGCCTGCCCAGCCCTGCAATGTCTCATCCTGGCCTTCAAGGCCCTGAGATGTCTGTCATTGGCCAATGACATTATCAGCCATCGCAACTGCAGTGTTTGGGCCTGTGCAGCCCTGCTTGCCTCATTCTCTTCCTCTGGGCTTCTTCCCATGGTGGCAGAAGCCAGAAAGGACTTGCTGTTGAAGGCTTGGCCACTCCCCCGATTGTCCAAAAAGGGGTGAGTGCAACGGACTGCCATTCATGGCTCCCCTGGCTCTGGACAGGATGAGTCAGGGATGGGCCACATTCCCCGGCACGCAGTAATGTGGAAGTTTGTTCTTTTTCAAACCTATTGGTGGTAGATGCACAGAATACCTTTTAGAATATTTTTAGAGACTGTGTTTGGTATTCTGAAGATATGGACCAAAAGATGTTTTTAGCCAATTACTTACGATGGTAAGCCTTGTAAACATATGATTGTCTCAAGAGTTTTAGCCAACTAAAGCTTGGCTTCATATGCCGGTATGTTAATCAAAGGATTATTAAAACTCCACTGTGAGCCAGTTTGGTGTAGTGGTTAAGTGCGCGGACTCTAATCTGGGAGAACCAGGTTTGATTCCCCACTCCTCCACTTGCACCTGCTGATGTGACCTTGGGTCAGTCACAAGCTCTGGCACTGCTGTCCTTGAAAAAGAGCAGTTTCTGTCAGAGTTCTCTCAGCCCCACCCACCTCACAGGGTGTCTGTTGTGGGGAGGGGAAGGGAAAGGAGTTTGTAAGCCGCTCTGAGACTCCAAGTGAAGGGCAGGGTATAAATCCAATCTCTTCTTCTTCTCTTCTGTGTATAGATCAGATGGTCTTGTCATTTCCTTACTTGGCCTGTGGCCTAAACTGTAAATGAGTAGTGAACCTTGTTTCTGGAATTTTCCATTTCAGATCACAAATGTAGGTGTATATGACTGACATTTATTTACTTCCTTCATTTATAACCTGCCGTTCTTCCCAGTGGTGACCCAAACTGGCTTAGCTAATTCTCCACTACTCCATTTTATCTTCACAGCAGTCCTGTGAGATAGATTAGGCTGTGACAGTATGACTGGCCCAAGTCACCCAGCAAACTTCCATGGCTAAGTGACAATTTGAACATGGGTATCCCAGATCGTAGTCCAAAACTCTAACCACTGCTATGCTGGTGATTTATATCTATATATGTCTTGCATGTAAAAAACTAACATGTCATGTAAAAGTCTGGCCTTCTTGCCCTTGGTATGTTACTTCTCTTGGGATTATTTTCCCATTGAAGAGCATTCTGTCATGTGAACCTACACTGTAGTCTGAAATGGTCCAGTTTAGGTAAAGCATTCCTGTCACCTCTAAGTCTGGGATAGGAATTGGAGAAAAGTCTAGCAGTTGCCTCTGTAGTTTTTTAGCTTGGCATCAGTACAGCAAATTTTCCTTTGGATCTCAGCTTTTCCACTTCTCTGTTAATCTTGCTTCTAGATTAATAAATGGAGTCCATAATGTTTTCCATGATAAATTGATGTTAATGTCTTGTACTGATGTTTCTTCACATCTGTGCCAACTTTTCATTTTGGGGGTGTATGAGGCATTCATGGGAGAGGAAGACACACTTCTGGTGTTAAGGGATAAGTGAGCCAAGACTTTTTGAAAGCTAAAATATTTTCCTCAAAAAGAAGATCCTGGGGTAGTCTGTTTCACAGACTAGAAAATGTGAACAGTTCATGTGCATCCTAATTTGCAAATGATTAGTCATTGTTCTCATCTTCATCTTTATCTGTTTGCTGAAGGCTAGCTAACTTATAGCGAGCAAAATATATAATTATGTTTTCTATATTGGATCTTTTTTAGATGACCTGCATCTCTGGCCCTTGTCCAACCTCTGATGAATTAAAGTATACTATGACTCGCATAGCAGTAGATGGAGCAGATACATATATTGTAGAGCATGGGTGTGCCACAAATATAAAGGTAGGAATATTCTTTCTTTATAACTTTGTTTTGGGGTTTATTCTAGATATTTCAATTTTTGAGAGGAATATGATAATCTTTGTATAGAACACATACCCAATCTTTCTAAAATCATGACTTCTCTTTAGCATATTCATTCAGGTACAAGAAATTTTTTGCAAAGCATTATATACATAAACATACATTGTGTGCAGAAAGCCTATTTTATGAAAGTGCAGGGTTTAGGAACAGAGTCTAAACCTTTTATTTTCAAAGGCTTAATCAACAGCAGCCTCTTTTATTTCATCCTACTCCTAAAAATACTTTAACTATTACTCTGTTCATCAGTTTGCATCATTCCAATAGGGAATTTCCATCTAAGCTAGAAAACGGACTCATATCCGTCTAAAACGTCAGAATGAGGCAAGACGTGGCATTGCATGTAATTTGATTTCTTGCCTGATTACCATTGATAGCTGCTAAAATTTTGTTTGTTCCACTTATCTGTACTTTAGTAGGAATGTAGAGCAGCAAGATTTCTAGAGTCTTCTAGAACTTTCTTTGGGAGGGGTCTTTTGTTAGGGGGAAAAGTATCTCCATTGAACAACCTTGCTTCTGTTTTCTTAAAACTATTTTAGATGGGTGCTGTACGCATTGCTAATTGTAACCTACACAACCAGTCTGTTCGTGAAGGTATAAGTGCAGCCATTCAAGACCTCCAATTGAAACAATACATTGAACAAGTGAATAACTGCAGAGTTGGTCTTCAGCCAGCAGTGCTGCGAAGAGCATACTGGCTTGAAGCAGGCTCAGTCAGTTTGGGTCTCATCACTGCTGACATTGCATTAGCCGCAGACCATCCTTCTAAACATGAAGTGCAGAGACATTTTTTGGAAATTCATGACAGCAGAACTAAGAGGTAAGATGTGCTATGGACAAGTGTTTCTAGATAAGATGACTTGTTGCCATAGATGTGCAAGTGCTGGCATGCTGAACAGATAGGTGAATAAAGAGGACTGGCGTGACATCGTGGTTAGAGTGCTAGACTAAGACCTTGAATGACTGGGTTTGAATCTCCACTCCTCCATGTAAGATTGCCTGGTGACCTTGGGCCCAGCTCAGAAAGCTATTGTACTGAGGGTTGTGGAGGAAGGGAAAATAATATGAAAAACTGTTTTGTGTCCTGATCAGGGAGAAAGGTAAGATATAAATAAAATAAATTAGGCATAACAGAACAGCCTTTCTACAAAGGATCTTTCTCTGTAGAATTAATGAAATGTAGACTACGTTTCTTTCAATCTTAAATAAATGACATTCTTAAGTAAATTTTGGTATTAAGAAGAGCTAGTTGGAGTTGGAACTTCCAGTGAAGCTTAAATATTGATCACGTGTCCCTGTTAATTTTTTTATTTTGTAGGCTATGGTTTTTATGGTCAGATGATAATACAAAGAACAAGAGGAGCAAGAACAAGTGTGGCTGCCTTGGTGGCTGTAGATTTTTTGGTGGCACAGTGTCGGGATTAGACTTCTTCAAGCTTGAAGATTTGACACCCTCAAGTAGCTCTGCTTTTTCAAGTACGAGTGCAGAATCTGATATGTTTTATGGACAATCTTTACTGCAACCAGGAGAATGGATTATTACCAAAGAACTTCCAAAAACTATAGATGGTAATCTGTATATTTGTGTATATATAGGACACTGTCAGTATATTTTGCAGTCTTATAAAGTTTTTAATAAATTCTTTCTCAAACACTCATGACGTAATTGGAGTTATTGATACAAAAATGATGGGTATTGTTCATAACTATGCAAAATTACAATTACTAGATGCAGTCTATAGTGCAAAAACTTGAACATTATAACTTGATAATTATTTGAGACGTTAGGATAGTTTATTTCATTGCCTGTTACTCACTTAAGCATTTTTGCACATTCACAGGAACTACCCTGTTTCCCCGAAAATAAGACCTACCCCAAAAATAAGCCCTAGCAGGATTTCTATGCATTTGTGGTATAAACCCTAGTGTGTCTTCTTGAGAAAAAATAAATATAAGACAGTGTCTTATTTTCGGGGAAACACGGTATGTACTAAACAAAAGCTGTACTTAAAACTTGTCTACCATAGAGCAATGCCAGTGCTGTTGCCTGTATTATCTAATATTTGGAATCTGCTTTCTTAGGTAAAGCAAATGGTGTTAAAAGGAAAGAATGGGAGTGTCGACCTATGGGAATAGAATTGGAAAGAAAATCCCAGCACCTGAATTTACAAGTACCACTGCGATCTCACAGTTCTTCCTCCTCATCAGAGGAGAATAGTAGCTCTAGTGCTGCACTTCCCTTGCTTGCAGGTGAGAGGGAAAGCCCTTCTGGAGCTGAGGACAACTTGGGGCAAAAAGAATTCTTGGCAGGTGCAAAAAGAGATGATGTCCATGGATGGTAAGTGTGCTGCTTTTGTTGACACTTTTTGCTCCCCAATGCAGATTGTTGGATATAGAAAATAAAAACTTCCTTGGCAGTATATCAGGAGTATGGATAAAACATAGTGCTACTACTTGGCACAGTCTTCTGTTGTTGCTATGGCTGTGTGTGTGTCATGTGCATAGATGTAACTGGGACTTATATGCTACTAGGAAAAAGGCCCGTTGTGGAAATACATACAACAGCCTCTAGAAAGAGGCTTTGGGCAGGTGCCCTGGCCTTGGACACTCAGTTTCAATTTGCTGTGGCGACCTCAGCAGGGTATAATGACACTGAGTCCACCATTTTCTCCAGAGGAACTGATCTCTGCTACCTAAAAAACAGTTGTAATTTTGAGTGATCTCCAGCCCTTACCTGGAGATTGGCAACGATGGTTCCCCAGAAGGGAATAGTTGGTTTGGAGGGTGGAGTCTATGGCTTTGTACCTGTCCCACGCCTCCTGAAACCTCACCCTCTCCAGGCTCCATCTCTCACATCTACAGGAATTTCCCTTCCCAGCCAATCATCAACCTACCTTTTATTTCCCCCTCACTCTTCAGCTTTCCACCCCCCCACACACCTGCAGCCTCTCCCGTGCTCTGAAGCCCTGACTGCTACGTCACATTGGCTGTCATATGGGGGCCACCTCAGCAGCATATAAGGATACAGAGCCCACCATTTTCACCAGGGGAACTGATCTCTGCCATCTGGAAAGCAATTGTAATTCTGAGTGATCTCCAGCCCTCACCTGGAGATTGGACACATTTAACCTCAGAACAGAAAACTGTTTAGAATGTTAGAGGCAAAAGCCAATCAAGTCGCATATGCAAACGACCTCTGTGTTCCGAGGCAAAGGCCAATGAGGCTGCATATGCAAATAACCTCTGTGTTCTGACTGGCTATGGGGGGGGGGAGGAACAGTAAAATGTTTAGAATGTTGGAGGCAGGACTCAGGCAAAGCAGCCAGTGGATAGGGAGACCCTCTGAATGACAGATCAGAGAGCGAACTGATTTTGGAGCGTGTGGAATGTTCTAGAGAAGTGCCACCACCATTCGGCTTTTATTTAGAAGGGAGATTGCAATAATTGGGAGCCAGGCAGTTACTATGGCTTCCCGGACTGGTACACCTGTATTTGCAGATTGTACTTCAAAGAGTAAGTTAAAAATAACTTTGAATTAATTGCAACTTTGCATGAATTTGCTAATATGAATTCTGTGCAAATTTACATAATTATAGATGAAAATGTTCTCTTTCTTGTTGTTTTGTTTTTGTTGCTTAGTACTATGGCAGTGGGTTCAGGAAGTAGTCCTGTATCTCCTAACTCCCAAGAGAGGCCTGTTGGTCAATCCCCTCTTAGATCGCCTTTAAAACGTCAGGCATCAGTATGTTCTACTCGACTTGGGAGTACCAAAAGTCTTACTGCAGCTTTCTATGGAGACAAGCAACCTGTTCCAGCTGGTGTTCAGTTCAGTAGTGACGTTTCTCGAAGCGATGAAAATGTCTTGGATTCTCCTAAGCAAAGGAGAAGCTTTGGTTCTTTCCCTTATACCCCTTCTGCTGACTCAAACTCATTTCATCAATATCGCTCCATGGACTCCAGCATGTCAATGGCTGATAGTGAAGCCTATTTCTCAGCAGCTGAGGACTTTGAACCCATAAGCAGTGATGAAGGCCCAGGAACCTATCCTGGAAGAAAAAAGAAAAAAAAGCAAGCCAAACAGATCGAGTATGGGAGAGGCTCTATCTATCACAGTGTAGAAGGACCCTTAACCACTACATTACATGGAGAAGCTAGTCAGGATCCAAAGAACTTATCAATAAGAACGCATCCTTCCCTAGCTTCATTTGTTTCTGCTTTGGGAGGAGAAGATGAACTTGTAGAACATTTGTATGTTATAGAAGCTGAGAAGGCTCCAGAGAATGAACAAATCACTTCACAGCAGCCTGTAATGAACTGTTATCAAAACTACCTTACCCAATATCAGGTGGTCAACTGGTCAGTAAAGCATCCAACAAATAAAAGAACTTCTAAATCTTCATTACATCGACCATTAGACCTAGAGACTCCAACTAGCGAAGAAAGCTCATCATCTTTTGAGCAACTGTCTGTCCCAGCCTTTAAGGTAAAAAGAAGTCAACAAATCAGACAATCAGTGTATGGGGAGGATGTGTTTTCAGTGGCTCCTTTTTATGGCCAAATTTTATGTTGTGTGGAGAATGAATAATAATAATAATACCTTTCGATTTATTGATCGCTCATCCTGCAGAGCTGCTGGCTCTGAGCAATTTACAGTTACACACGTTTTCACAAGGGACTAACAATGTTTCATAGGGTAAGAAAGGACAACATATAATTCTTTAAATCGCACACTTTTGCAGCCGATGGGGATTTTGTTCAGCTGTAAGCTTCAGGCGTGTTCCGGACGGCATTCACTTTTTCAGAGTGGCTAGATGGCAGTTCTTCCAGGACTGTTTTTAGCAAACTGTGTGGCACACTAGACATTATAACAATATACCTGAGTTGTGCTGTTTGAGGCAGGGGCCCATGGGGACAAGGCAACATTCTTTCAAGAATAGTATCCCAGGAACAGGAAAAGTCAACCCAAGATTCAGGGAACAGGTTGCTGGCTTGACCATTACCAGCTACAGGACCATGGAGAGCTCTCAGGTTAACAGCCTATGTCTAAGGTCAGAAACTGACTGTCAGGCTCTGCTTCCCTAGGAGAGTGGTTCCCAACATTTTTCAGATGGTGACCCATACATCCAAATTTACCTTGTATAGTGACCCATCCAGGGCTGCACAAGGTTTTTGGGTGCCTTAGGCAAACTACGACTTTGGCAGCCCCACTATTCCAGCATTCCATTTTCTACAGTGCCCAACCAGGTGTTTTTGAGAAACAAACAAACATCACACAAAGTTGCAGTTTCCCCCACTATGAATCTCAACCTCCTCCTCTGCCAGCTGTGCCAGAGCCAGAGTTTGAAGAGATACATGCAGATGGCAGATGGTGGTGAAGAGGTTGGCGGCAAGAGTCTCAATGCAGTACATCTTCCACAGCAGACAGAGGGCAGTGAAGCAATGCAGGGGGCTGGACAAGAGGTTGGGCTGCTGAAGGAGCAGCACCAAGACAGAGGCCATACACACACACACACGTTTCTATTCTCCTCTGTTTTTTCCGTGGTATGCTGAACAGCTCCCTCCTCCTCTCCAGCCTCCCCTCCTTCATTCAGCTGCTACAATGAAGTTATTAGTTGCCTGATGGCTTTTTTCTTCTTCTTAACTGTCACAAAAAAGGAGAGGAAGATGTGAACATGAGAAGTTGGAGAGGAGGAAAGACAGAGGGATGAAAAGAACAGGAGCTGCCATTAGGGAGGGTTGGGTTGTGATCCTCTTTCAGAGGTTTCCTGACCCACTTTTGGATCCTGACCCACAGGTTGGGAAACACTGCCCCAGAATACAGTGGACTTACATTGAAGTAGGTTGTTGTGTCTCATTGTGTTGTTGCAGGTGTGAATTGCTTTTATGAATGAGTTTTTACCTTGAATGTCAGAATGCAATGATGAGAATTACACATTTTTAGAAGCTAGATATTCAGGTGGTTCCAGAAAACACTTGTGATTTCAAAATTATGCTATATGTTATGTGTGTTCTAGATTGTTAAACAGGGCCTGACAGCTAATGCTCTATTGGACCGAGGAATGCAGTTCACAGGATCAACATCAAAGTGAGTAACAAGTTGCAATATGTTTTCAGTATTCTAAGACTAAGGTCCCCTTCACATGCACTCCCTGTGTTTATGGTAATTCTTTCCACATAGCATCATTATACTCTGCAAAGAGTAAGTATGTCTGTAAGTAATGTTGCTATGTAGTTGGGGTCATATTCTTGTCCCCCCCTTTTTTTTTTCCCTTCCTCTGACTGAATCAAGTTCATATATGCCTATTTGCAGCATGGAATCATACCAACTGAAACCATGGAGCATATATGAAGGGGACCTAAAATTAAGGTGATAGTCTGTGTTTTCTTTCTTTGAGATCTTCTCACTTAATTTGGGCATGTAGAAGAATAAAATATATTGGTTTATCATTAAGTTACTCTTTTTGGGAGAGTTTGAAAAGTTAATCCCTCTAGTAGTTTTAATGTATTTTATAGCCTGTATTTCCATAGGCTGAAACATTTTAGTTGATGCAATATAAAATGTGTGTTACAGAGTGAGGCATAGAGTATGCATCTTGCACTGCTGTTGTCTTTAAAGCCATTGTGGTGTAGTGGTCAGAGTGTCAGACTGGGATCTGGGAGAATCAGATTCAAATCCCCAGGCCATGAAAGCTCACTGCAGGGGGCTGGACCTTTGCACCTTTGCCCAGTCACTCTTGTTCTGCCTAACCTACCTCATGGGGCAGTGGTTTTGAGGATAGTGGGGCACATATTTACATATGTGGGGCAGAACATTTTAAGTGGAAAATGTAGCTCTGGGGAAAAATTCCACCCCGCATCACTGAGGGAGACCACTGTATGCCACCCTGAGCTTGTTGTGGGAAGGGTGGGATAACAATGTATTATATAACACAACTAAAATTATTAAGAAGAAGAAGAAGAAGAGAAGAGATTGGATTTATACCCCGCCCTTCACTCGGAGTCTCAGAACAGCTTACAAACTCCTTTCCCTTCCCCTCCCCACAACAGACACCCTGTGAGGTAGGTGGAGCTGAGAGAGTTCTTTCAAGAACTGCCCTTTCAAGGACAGCTCTGACAGAACTATGGCTTGCCCAAGGTCATCCAGCAGCTGCAAGTGGAGGAGTGGGGAATCAAACCTGGTTCTCCCAGATTAGAGTCCGTGCACTTAACCACTACACCAAACTAAGCTTTGTAAAAATTGTTTTTGCTATGCACTTTTCTGACATTTGATGCTTTTCAGCTAAATGATTTAGGACTTTTATATCCCACATTTCTACTTAGTTAAGTAGTGAAGTGCACCAGGTATGTTACAAGAAATAAAATGTTATAATGTAATTATGTAGAAACAATGTCAACAAAACAGTGGATTAAAAACAAGACAATAAATATACATAAAATCTAGCCATCTGCGGTAAAAAGTAAAACATCACTGCAAGGAAACATTAAAGCCTAATAAACAGCAAGCTACGCATTTGTGTTGGTGACGTGCAGTGATAGTTTTTGCAAGTTAAATAATGATAATTTTGGAGGATCAAAAGTGTATCCTTTAGCATATGTGAAAATCTTTTTGTGATGTACAGAAGGCTGTCCTGTCCCTGAAGGGGGAAAACAGCCACTCACTTAAGTGTATGGGAGTGCTATTCCAGCATCTAGTCACCTTTGAGAAGGGGGGTGGAATGTTGGAGGGAAACACAGCAGGAGGTCAGTTCAGGTTTGCCCCAGGGAGAGAGCAGTGGGAGCTCAGGTATGGCTGAGGAAAAGAGAAGACAGTGTGAAGGGTAGCTCTGCTTGGTAGTTTGACAGAGTGGTTTGGCTCTACTTCTGACAGAGAATAGAGTACCCAACTATCTCTAGGCCTGTCTCTGGCAATGAGCAGACCTTGTGCCATTTAGTCTGACTCTTGGGAAAGTGCAGGCTGGTGTGGGTGGAATCCTATCTGTGTTTTAGGATCCAACCTAGGGGCTAATCGGTAAAAGCCTGTTTATGTTAGAAACCATTAAAGAAAATTGAAACTACTCTCTAGATTAATGTGCCTCAGCCAGGTTTCTCTTTTGTCTAGCTGGAGACTTGTGCTGCTGATCTGTTCCTTGAACCCTGCTTGTAGAGAAATAAACCTTCTTTGTTGTTAATATTTTAATTTTTTAATGTTTTAACTTGGGCATTCGTGCCCCTTGTGAGCTGCCCTGAGCCTTCGGGGAGGGCGTGGTATAAATTCAAAGATAAATAAATAAAATTAAAAATATACAATTCCTGCCTCAGTGACCTCGATATTCTACTTGTGCACCATAAAACTTACCTCACAGCAGCAAACCCAAAACCTAGACACTTGCTACCTTTAGAACACCTGATGACTGAGGGGAAGGTTTATAGTTTAAAATAAACCTGGTGTTCCCCCCCCCCAAATCAAAGGAGGCTGTGTGGGTCCCCTCAGTTGATAGAAACGGCCTGTCACAGTTTTCTTCTAGGAATAAATAGTAATATTACTGTAGTTGTGCTCTCCTTTATAATTCACTGCATTAATCACAATGGGCTGAGACTCCTGGAAAATACAGAGGGGGACAAAAACATACCTACCTTATCTATACTGTACTAGTGTTCTGAAGCAATAGAACAAAGTTTGAGTCGGCACCTTTAAGACCAACAAAGTTTAATTCAGGGTAGAAGCTTTCGTGTGCATGTATCTGGTGAAGCGTGCATGCGCACAAGAGCTTATACCCAAAGTAAAATGTATTGGTCTTAAAGGTGCCACTTTCTTCAAACTTTCTGAGAGTAACAGTGTTTATAGTTTTACTATCCAGCTACAACAGTTCTGTGTTTAATATTCTCAGTTGCCAGGACAAGTTGTTTTTATCTCTTTAACGATAACCAAAATTACTGAAAGAAAATTCCTTTGAGGCTAATATAGGCCAGTAACGAGAAAAAACTCTTGCAAGTGAATGATCCAGTGTTGCAGTCCACATAGCCTGAGCGGTTCTTATCTGCAATTGCATTAACCTTGTGTGAACATCTGCCACTCTTCAAATTAGACAGCTTATTAAACTCTTGCACCTTCTGTGCTTAGCACCAAGAGGCAGTTGCATCTTGAAAAGTTGTTTGTCCACCTAACCAAGTATACACTCGCAATAAATTCAACTGCTGACCATCATGCAGCACTTGAAAATAATTTCGTAGCATCTCCTCTTTGAGAAGTAATAACTTGGTTCTGTTTTTGTTTTGTTTATTAAGCACACCATACACCCCCTTGGAAAAGAAAATCCTTGACAATACAGATGATGAAACGATAACAGAAGAATGGACTCTGGATCACCCAGTTTCTCAGACCAGAACAACAGCCATTGTGGAAATAAAAGGAACTGTGGATGTTGTTCTCACTCCACTTGTAGCAGAAGCTTTGGATAGGTATTTCATATTTTTTTAAAAAACAGGAAACCCCAGCAGCCTTGAATCTAATGGCTTGAATTAATTGCCTGTTTTACAAATCAAATAGCTGATAAGATCTTTTGTATAAGCTTTTGCTTGTCTTGATACTGTGTTTTATGCATCAAAACACCAAGGGCATTGTTCTTCAGCAGTTACATGGAGATGTGCAACTAAGCTGTGCAAGGTTTGCATATCTCAGATGTAGGCTGAGAGAAGTTTTGGCAGGAATAGGAAAGATAGTGAATATTCTTTGTATATCCCTATCAGTGGGATTAGAAGCATCTTTCCTGCTTTTGCAGCAGCAATATTGTTATGGCAAAGTCTATGTGTTAAAGCACTGGACTGTTTTTTATTTATTTAATTTTCAGAAAGGGGGTTGGCTCCTTTCTCTCCCACTGGGGGAATTCTTGGCCGCTTACAGTGTGTGTATGTGTGTATGCACATTTGAGCATCAAAGGCTCTGATGAATTTCATAGTTCGGATGCTGCGTATAACTTCTTACGTTGGGAGCACCTGGTGAAGGGCCTTTGAAGGTGACCTTAACTGACAGGCAAACTCAAATGGGAGAAACCTGCTCTTCAGGTACTCTAGACTGTTTCGTGTTTTAAAAGGCAACACAAGCACTTCAAATTGTGCTGGGGGAAAAAATAGAAAACCACTAGTGGATTTTGCTTACTATGATGAGTCCAGGTGTTAACTTGGTCACAGTATTCTAGATCTTTTGAGGTTTCCAATGACTCTTCACAGGCAGCCTAATGTTTAATATGGTTTGAATCCCACAGAACATTTCCACTAAAGGAAGGGACATCTATCAGTGGAATGGACCTTTCCTACCACTGCATACCAAAATACTGCTCCTGGGGGTAAGGGAATCCCCAGGGATGACATGAAAGGGGATTTAGAGGTCTGCAACTAGAGTTGAATATTGGGGAAAACCCACCTTCCTGTGGCATTCAATCCTACCCAGTCTTAACATTTAGTATAGGTATGTGTCTTATAAGAAAACTATGTTGAATTCATTTCCCTTGCAGGTATATAGAGGCAATGGTTCATTGTGCTAGCACATACCATCCAGCAGCTATTGTGGATGATCTGCATTTCAAGGTCCTCAGAGAAGCGGCGCAGAACAAGAAAACAAGTTTCTCAGAAAATGTATGTGTATTATGTGGCTAAACATTTTTGTTTAGCATGCACCAACCATACTTTCTGTTCATGTGAGGTGTCTAAAGAATCACAATAATGACAGAGCCATTTCCCAGAGAATCTAATTGTAACAGTGATGGGAATGCCTTGCTTCAGGAAGCGTGGATGAAAAATATTAATGGTGCTAACATGTGATTGCTTTAATAAAAGTGATGGGTCTGTGCTCATTCCTCCCGGTCTTTTAAATTCTGTTCTTTTTCTTTGTTTCTGCAGTCAGTAATTTTCAGAGCATTGTGAATGAACTCATTTTCATTTCTACCATCCAAGGCAGGGAAGTGAAATCAGTATATGTGTAATTAAGATACAGGGGATATGTGAAATTTATTGAGAGGTTTTTATCTCTATGCATCACTACTGGAATTCCAAGCAGGGGTGCAGGCACTGTGGTGAACAGAGAGTTTTCTCTCCCAAGTAGCATCAAGTAGGAAAGCGGAAGAAGTTCCTGCTG